CTCTCCAAGGTGGCTTAGAACTCAGGCTTGAACACCATTTTAATAAGGAAAGGGTATGTCTGTGTAGACCTTTTGCAGGAGAGCAAATGATTTTTAGGAAAGATGAATGGGCCCTTGAAAGAACACATGGGAGAAGAGAGTGTGTAACAAAGTTTGTCTGGGTGTCTACTTCTAGTTTCTTCTTCTGTGATGAGTCAATCTTCCCTGGTTGATGAAACTCTCAGAAAGGAGATTTGTGATAACTGAGTTCTTATTCTTGGAGGACCTGTCTTTAGGCAGATAAGGTATTCAGAGAAAGCTGCTTCCTGCATTTGCTGTTATTTTTCAAGTGTCTACAGTTCAAAATAATCAACATTCCCATGCAGCATATTTTGGGGTGGCATGTCCTGAACGTCTACAGATCTATTTTGGGGTGGCACATTCCACTACCCTTCATTCAGCTCATCATTATCACTCAAAGTCCATAGTTTACATTAGGGTTCACGCTTGCCATTATGTGGCACCAATGTTCAACTGGTGTGTGGCAAGAGGCATGCTGGTGTGCCACAATAATTTTTAAAACATGCAATACCTGACTATATAGTCAGGGCACTAACCTCTTTTCACAGAGTTTGTCAAATAAAAAAATGACAAAGCCAACACAATAGCCATCTGGTGTGAATAAATGAAAATTATACCTATTTTTTGGTCAGATCAACAATACATATATTTTTTGGTGTGCCGCAGAATTTTAGTAATTAGTTTATGTGTACCGTGAGATAAAAAAAAAAAAAAATGAAAATCGCTGTTCTATGGTATTGGACAATCGTATAGTGACATGTGTCCACCATTGTAGTATCATACAGAGTAGTTTCATGACCCTAAAAGCCCTTAGCGATCCCCCTCTTGATCTCCCCCTCCCTCCATCCTCACTCCTGGCAACCATTGATCTTCTTACTGCCTCCATAGTTTTGTCTTTTCCAGAATGTCATATAGCGAGAGTCCTACAGTATGCATGTAGCCTTTTCGATTGGCTTCTTTCACTTAGTAACATGCATTGGAGATTCCTCCATGTTTTTTCATGGCTTGATAGTTCATTTCTTTTTAGTGCAGAATCATATTGCATTGTCTGGATGTATGTACCACACTTTATTCATTCACCTGCTAAAGGACATCTTGATTGCTTCTAAGTTTTGGCAATTATAAATACAGCTCCTATAAACATTCGTGTGCCGGGTTTTAGATGGACGTAAGTTTCCAATCCTCTTGGGCAAATACCAAGGAGTATGATTGCTGGATCAGATGTAAGAATAGGTTTAGTTTTGTAAGAAACTGCCGCACTGTCTTCTAAAGTGTTACATTCCTACCAGCCGTGTGTAAGAGTGCCTGTTGCTACCCGTCCTCACCAGTGTTCTGGATTTTGGCCATTCAAATACTGGTATTCATTGTTGTTTTAGTTTGCATTTCCATGATGACATATGATATGGAGCATCTTTTCATATACTTATTTGCCACCTGTATATCTTCTTTGGTAAGGTATATTTTGGATAACATTTCTTTACCCTACATATCTTTTGTAAATATTTTCTCCCAATCTCTGGCATATCTTCTCATTTTCTTGATGGTATCTTTCACAGAGCAGAAATGTTTAATGTTAATGAAGTCCAGCTTATTAATTCTTAAATAGATTGTGCCTTCGGTGTTGTATCTAAGAAGTCATTGCCAAACTCAAGTTTTTTCCGGTGTTGTTTTCTAGGCGTTTAATAGTTTTGCGTTTTACATTTAGGTCTGTGATCCAATTTGAGTGAATTTTTGTGAATGCTGTGATGTCTGTGTCTAGACTCATTTTTCTGTGAACTTACAGCTGTTCCAGTGCCATTTGTGACGACTGTCATTGCGTATTGTATTGCCTTTGCTCCTTTGTCAGACATCAGGTGACTATATTTACACGGGTCTATTTCTGGGCTCTCTATTCTCCTCCATTGACCTGCTTGTCTGTTCTTTTACCAGTACACACTGTCTTGATTATTGTAGCTTTATAGAAAGTCTTGAATTAAGGTAGTGTCAATCCTCCAGTTTTGTTCTTCTTTATTATTGAGCTGGTTTTTCTGGGTCTTTGGCTCCTTCATTATTAAGAGTCTAAAGGGGGGGTCCTAAGAGAAATGTTTGAGAATTGCTGTTGTAGAGAAAGATGGACAGACACACAGATGCGTGCATTAAATTCTTATGATAGGAAAGAGGATAGACCAGGGGTGGGCAAACTTTTTGACTCGAGGGCCACAATGGGTTCTTAAACTGGACCGGAGGGCCGGAACAAAAGCATGGATGGAGTGTTTGTGTGAACTAATATAAATTCAAAGTAAACATCATTACATAAAAGGGTACGGTCTTTTTTTTTTTAGTTTTATTCATTTCAAACGGGCCGGATCCGGCCCGCGGGCCATAGTTTGCCCACGGCTGGGATAGAGTGTAGCGGAGGGGAACCCGAACTGAGTTTTGTACATCCAACTGCCTTGTTCTGGGGGCCAAACACCCTGCTGCTTTAGGGTGCATCTCTGAGTCCAAATTTAGAGGCCATGTGACACAGATGTGAGCCTGGTCTCAGGAGAGTCTGAGAGAGAGAGAGAGAGAGAGAGAGAGAGAGAGAGAGAGAGAGAGAGAGGTATAGGGCGTGGATTGTCCACCTCCCTCGGACTAGAGAACACAGGGCAGAGGGGCCGTTTGGAACTGGTCTTGCACTTCTCTGAGAGGAAGGCGGGTCTTGGTTGTTAGGGTGGCACAGGTAACTCCAGGGCTGTGCCTGCCTGCTGGTCTTTATAACTAACATGTTAAATCTCAAGAATAAACCATGTTAAAAAGGGGAACAGTCCCCTCTTGTACTGATCACCTACCACCCTCTACGTTCTGCAGGAAACACATGCAGAGGAGAAAAGGAGGGGCTTTAGTCTCAAACCCCAGAACAAAAACAAATATATCCCCAGGCCTGTTGGACTCCTCCGGAGAGAAAGTGTTGTTTGCTGAAAGAGGCCAGTTGCTTCCTCTGCTCCCTGCACCTGGGCCACACCCCAGACGCAGACCCCTCCGGCAGTGAGAGAGGCCGGCAGCTGGCCTGAGCAGAGCTGAGGGTTGAATGGGGCCGCCTTCAGATCAAGCCACACAGCTGCTCCCTGACCCAGTTGACCTCATCAGCTGCAAGAGCATCATGAGGAATCCCAAGAGCAAGCCAAAGGAAGCGAGGCCGAGGCCAAGCCTTCCTGTACCCCAGCCTGTGGAAGTACATTGCCCCCGGGGACCAACCCAGATGGTTTCCCATTCATTAGCCATTTGCCAGACACGTCTTCTGGCCCTGCTCCTGGCACTGTGCCCAAAGGAACAGCATTCCTAGGGGGACACTGGTGGGTTCAGAGGGCCCCTAAAGGTCCAGACATCAGGCGTGTGTGCTATGGTACAGGGAGAAGGCCTAGAGTTTTTATCGAATGTTCAAAGGCAAGGGGAAGTTCTTTTTCAAAAAAGGGTGAAGAACCACTATGTTAGAGGTCAACAGTCACAACAGCAGCTCTGTTGAGGGTTTTCAAAATAACATCAATTAAATAACATCAATTCAAAAAAAAAATAGCTCTGTTGTTCTCCAAGCCTGGCTCAGTGCTAAGAGCTGGAGATGCAACAATGAACAAGGCCAGATGCCATCCGTGTGCCATTGAGGAACACAGATACAAATCAAACAAACACACACGTGTCAAATTTCAAATCATGTCTTGCTATGAAGGAAAGAAACCTGGTTTTATGACGGATATAACAGTGGATGTTTAGTTTTTATTTTTATATGTTTGTTTACTTTTGAATAGGTAATGCACTCATGTTAAAAAATTTTCAGAAGAATTATACAGTGACACCACCCACCCACCCTAGCCCCTAGCCACTCCCTGGGGGCCATGCATGTTCTCCAGACTGGTGAGTGGCCTCTTGCTGTTAGGCCAGGGAGAGAAGAGCAAGCTTACTTGAGAATATGAAGCTTGAAATGAAATTTGAAGCATGAACGTGAATTAACTAAGTGAAGGGGACTAGAAAGAAATGTGGAAAGTACTCTAGACAGAGGCACTAGCTTGTGCAAAGGCCCTGTGGCAAGAGACAGCATGATGTAATAGAAGAACTAAAAGAACACCTGTGGCTAGAATGCAGAAAGCAGGGAGGCAGAAGTCCAGGATGCTGGTGGGTGGGGAGGATGCACTCTTGTAGACTGCTCAGCATTAAGGTTTTTCCCCTGAAACCCACTGAACGAGGAGGGGAGATAACCGGCAATCACACTTGCATTTTGAAACTATCACACTGGCTTTTGTATGGGATTGGCGGGGAAAGCAGTTAATGGGTTCTTATTCAGTTCAGGTGAGAAATGATGTGGGTTGGTGGTGGTGCTTTATCTACTTATAATATAGCAGGTCCTCGAATAACAGCATCATTTTGTTATAGTGTTGATGAGATGCTGTAAGAACTTAACTCTTGTTTATATCAGTTGCTCTATGGTAAAATTGGTTTTGTGATCCGTTGTTTTGCGGCAGTTCCGAGAAGCGTTCGATGATGTTATGTGAGGACTTAACTGTATACTGCAAGCAATGTGTTGGTGTGTGTGGTTCTTGATTCTGAAAAAAAAAAAAAAAATCAACAAAACGTTTGTTTCAATTCTCTCAACCGAATGGGAGAGAATTCATAACAGGAGTTGGCTTAGAATGTGGCTAGATTGTGTGCAAGCATGTGGCCAAACTGACAGAATAAATTAGCGTTCCTGTAAAAAGGCGGCTGGGCAAAGGGCTGCATCTCCTAGAATCTTGCCGGAAGACACCTGGTCCAGGCTCCCACCTGCTCGCCCTCTGCAGGAGCCCTCCAGTGGCAGGAGGTTGTCACTGTGGCCACGAGGTCATAGCAGAGTGACCATGTGGGCGAGGCTCAGTGAGTAGAACTCCCGGTGCTGGAGATGTTTGGGAATGTGCACACTCAGTTTTCCTTCTGTCCCCCTAAACCCCCAGGATGGCTTATCCCGAGGAGCAAGGAGGCGTCCCCTGTGGTTTCCTCCGCCAGAATTCCGGCAACTCCGTTTCCTTGGACTTCGAGCCCCACACTGAGTACCGGTTTGTGGAGCAATTAGAAGAGCGATACAAATGTGCCTCCTGCCACTCGGTGCTTCACAACCCCCACCAGACGGGATGTGGGCACCGTTTCTGCCAGCACTGCATCCTAGCCCTGAGGTGAGTGGGCTCTGAATGTCAGGTGTGGCCTCGCAGCTGTGATTGTGGTTCTGGGATGGCCGTGGTTGGCCACAGAACCATCCATCTGAGGAGGGGCTCTCCTAGGCCCCTCCTGTGAGACCCTGAGGAGCCGTCTTCATTTTTTGCCACTCGCTGACTGATTCTCACCTTTGGTTAAAATCCAGACCACGCCTGCTTTGCATGTGAGGACAAACCTAGAAGCCCATCTGTGTTTCCCCCAGGGCCTGCAGACGCCCTGCCCTTCCTTGCCTAAGGCAGCGGTGACGTCGCAGAATCTCTCAGGCATGGGGGCTGTTCACTCCAGGGTGGCTGTAAAGCCTGGCTCATGCCCTGTTGAGGGAGCGGACCAGGAGAGACATAAACGCGGGCGTTTAGGGCTTATCGAGGGGCAGGAAGGAAGTTGTATCCTGCCCAGGGGGTTATTACAGCACACGCCCATTCATTCATGGGCTCGTTCATTCAGTGCCCGTGTGTTCCAGGCACCTTGCTAAACTAAGCTCCAGTGTCCAGAGTTGGAGAGCTGAGGTCCAGTGTGGAACAGGACCCAGTCTCTGCCTTCTAGAACATTCCAGTCCAGTGAAGCAGACAGGCAGGCGGTGGTACAGTGTGATAAGCAAAGGACTGGAGAGGGCATTCAACTCTGTGGGGGGGGGACTCACTATTTGATTTGCGTCCTGGGAATGCAGGGGAGTTTATTTTCAGACTGAAGAGGTGCTGGAATTGGGGCGCTGGGGGCCTTCTGGGAGAGGGGATAGCATGAGTAAAGACAGGGCCTGGGCTGCTCCGGGGAACGTCAGGGGGCCGAGCATGGCCGGAGTGCTGAAGAGCTGTCAAGGTCAACTCTTAATTCTGGCTCTATTTTTATTTTTCTCTCCAGGGAATTAGATGCAGTGCCACTCTGCCCTGTGGATAAGGAGGTCATTAAATCTCATGAGGTAAGAAAGCCACTGCTTTGGGTTAGCAAGTCTCTAGTTGATAGAGAAGCCAGTGTCCTGGTTGGGCATCGAGGTTGGAGCAGGAGAGCGGAAGGGGGTTTTCCCTGGGGTCCATATTCCTCTGCTGAGGGGTCAGGTCGGACCCCCACTTCTGACGCTGTCTGAGAGCTTGTTTGGGTCTTTATTGACTCCCCACGTTTCTTTTCCTGCTTCTTCCTTCCCCCTTCCTATCCCGGCTCCAGCCCTCCTGAGTCACTTGGAGAAATGAAACATCCTGTTTCCTGGAATCCACTATCTCATCTGGTTAATCTCGAATACTTCCTTTGGTTATTATGTCTAACAACAGCCTTATCCAGCTAGAATTCACATGTCTTAAAATCTTCTTGTAACGTGTCCATGTTTCTTGGGTATATACCGAGAGGTGGAATTACTGGGTCAGATGGTAACTATGTCTAACACTCTGAGGACCTGCTAGACTAGGTGTTTTCCAAAACAGCTGCACCATTTCGCATTCCTGCCAGCAATGTCTGAGAGTTCTAATTTCTCCTGGTCCTTGCCAGGATTTGTTATTGTCCGACTTCTTTATTATGGCCTTCCTTGTGGGTGTGAAGATATATCTTGTGGTTTTGATTTGCATTTCTCTAATGGTTAATGATGTTGCACGTGTTTTCCTATGGTTGGCCATCTGTATAGGTCTTTTGTAAAAATGCCCATTCAATCCCCTTGCTCATTTTCTCAGTGGGTTATTTGCCTTTTATTGTTGAGTTCTAAGAGTTCTTCATATGTTCTGGATACAAGTCTCTGATCAGATATATCATTTGCAAATATTTTTCTCCCATTTTGTGGGTCATCTTTTCACTTTCTTGATGGCTTCCTTTGAAGCACAAGTTTTTCATTTGGACGAAGCCTTCTTTATATTTTGTTTGTTTGGTTGCGTGTTCCCATGACCATGCTCAGTTTTCTTCCTTTATTTTTTTAAAATTTGTTTTTATTGATTTTAGAGAGAGAGGAAGTGAGAGAGATAGAAACATCAATGAGAGAGAAACACACTTCCTACTGGGGATCAAGCCCACAACCTGAGCATGTGCCCTGACTGGAATTGAACTGGTGACCTCTTTGTTCATGGGTTAATGCTCAACCATTGAACCACACCATCTGGGCAGTTTTCTCCCTGACCTGAACACCTGTCTGATACATGCTCCTTCTCTATGCTCTTATGATGCCTTCTGAAAGGCCAAGCATAGGGCAGTGCTGTACTTGTGCCTGCCTCAACACTGGGCCAGGGGGTGGCATATGGCAGCTTGGGATTTGTTGGGACAAATCCAGCCACTTGTTTTTGTATGGCCTGTGAGCTAATAACAGTTTTTATATTTTTAAATCATTGGAAAAAATCAGAAGTGCACTAGGAACTCTGTACTTTTCTTAAAAATATATTTTATTGATTTTTTACAGAGAGGAAGGGAGAGGGATAGAGAGTTAGAAACATCGATGGGAGAGAAACATCAATCAGCTGCCTCCTGCACACCTCCTACTGGGGATGTGCCCGCAACCAAGATACATGCCCTTGAGCGGAATTGAACCTGGGACCCTTCGGTCTGCAGGCCAACACTCTATCCACTAAGCCAAACTGGTTAGGGCAGGAACTCTGTACTATTTTTGCAACTTCTTGTGAGTCTTAAACTATTTCAAAATAAAATTTTTTAATAAAAGTAAGAATAATGTTACAGTCCTAGCCAGTTTTGCTCAGCGGATAGAGCATTGGCCTGTGGACTGAATGGCCCCAGGTTCGATTCCAGTCAAGGGCACATGCCTGAGTTGCGGGCTGTATCCCCAGTGATTCTCTCTCATCATTGATGTTTCTATCTCTCCCTCCCTCACTGAAATCAATAAAAATATTTTTTTAAAAAAAGAATACTGTTATGCATCATGTGAAAATTATATTTCAGTGTTCATAAATAATGTTTTATTAGAACACAGCTTATGCCCCTTTATTTAAGTATTGTATATGGTGAAGTTGAATAGTTGCAACAGAGACCATTGCAGCGTGGTCCGCCGAGCTGAAAATATTTACTCTCACCCTTTATGGAGAAAGTTTGCCAACCCCTGGTTTGTGCTGAAATAGCAAGGCAGCACAGCTTCAGTGACGCTACTTGATGACTAATACAAACCCATCTGCTGGGCAGGAAGCTGAAAGCATCACCCTTAGCCACAGCCCCACCTCCTGACCTTCGAGCATATGGGGTCAAATGCACCTTGAGCTTCTCCCAGCTGCAGCCTACTGCGCTGGACATTGATTACCTACCTGCCTTGCATGTTTGCGGCCTGTCAGACGTATGTATCTGAAACAGCTTTTCCTTTTATGATGCTGAATCTGCTATTTCCATTCCAACCACTGTCTAGAAGTTTCCACCCGCCTTCTGAGATGAACCTGAAGACCAGGTTAATAATAATTCTTGCTGCTCTAAAGCTTTGGTGTGAGACCTATCATGTTTATCTTTTAGGTGTTTAAAGACAATTGCTGCAAAAGGGAAGTCCTCAATTTATATGTATATTGCAAAAATGCTCCTGGGTGTAATGCCAAGATTATTCTGGGACGATACCAGGTTGGTATTACGAACAACATTTGCCTTCGCCAATTTCCAGTGACATGCGTTGAACACCTTTTTTTGGTGATAGTTGCTGGGCTAAGCATGGGGGTGGGGTGGTCATTGGGCTGCCCTCAGAGAATTCCTACCTAGAAATTCTGACCCACAACATGCAAAGGGCTAAGATGTGAGTGAAGAGGTTTGTTCTACCTGGAAGGTATGGAGGACGTGCTGCCTGAACTAGGCCTTACATTGTGGGTTAGGGGCATTGATCCAAAAGTGAAGATGTGAGATATGCTGGGCAAAAGGAACGCTTAAGCAAGGACATGTCCTTTGAGGGGAACTGTGAAGGATTTGGGGTCCCTAGGGTGGGAGCCAGGGTTTGAGTGCCCGGAGGCATTTGCAGATGCCAGAGTGATTGCTTCCCAGCAGCTGTGGGCCCTGGCCTCTTAGAATTTATGATCTAAGGCAGAAAACAGATCAGAACAGAGATAGGATGGAGTTTAAAGGTGAAGCATTATTAGGAGATGCAAACAAAAGGTCTAGGGGAGGCGAAGGGGCCTGAGCTTCCTATGGAATGAAACTGCTACCCGGCTCTTCCATCCAGCGGGAAGCTTGTGAAATGCAGGCTGGGAATGTGGCTCCGCCATGGCAGGCCCCTATCAGGTTTGATCACACGACGAATGAATAAGGCTCAGGCATCCCAAGCTTCCAGGGAATGCTTGGAGGCTGCTGAGAGTTTCCACTCCCGCCCACACATTTTGGAATATGTTTCAGGTGATTTTTTTCTCCGTCAGTCCTCCAGACCCCGCAGGCACAGAACTGATAAATGTGCAAATGATTTCCTTGTTAGCCCAGGGAGTTCTTTGGAGGCTCACGGAACTTGGTTGTGTTTTCCCCATGACAGCCCCTGGCCACTGGTTCCGATAGTCAGATAGTCAGGTCCCCAAGCGGGGCCTCTTTCCAACTTTGGGTTGTCGCTAAGCCTGAAAGGGAAACGAGGCTCAAATGGACCAGGGATCAGCTTTAGCCACCAGATCATCAGCTTCTAGAGAACAGCAGCTGATTTCTTTCCACCTCTTTCTTTCGTATTTCCCCTCATTCACTGTTCTCCCCACCTTGTGTGACAGGGTGGGGGAGCTCACAGAGACCGGAGTCTTGATGAATGCTGACTGTTTTGATGCGTTGAGGGTAACGTCCATGAATTTTGGACAAGATGCGGATTTCAGTTGTCATCACCATTTGTTTCTTACCAGCAGAGGCAGAGGAAAAGAGGTGTATTGATTGATCTCCCATAGATAAAGTCTTTGCTCTTTTTTCCTTCAGAGGAGTCAGCACACTGTTTCTGCCGAGAGCCAGACAGTAAATATTTCAGGCTTTGCAGGCTCTGTCGCAGCTGCTCAACTCTCCCATTTTAGAGGATAGATCATCTGAGAACAAATAGATAGGCATGTGGCTATTCTCCAATAAAACTTTATTTACAAACGCAAGTGGCAGGCCAGGTTGGCCCCAGGCCCATAGCTTTCCGACCTTGTTTTAAAGGATTTTTCAGGCAGACAACCTTATTAGGATTTTGATAACTTGTCAGAATCACAGTCACTTACAGTCATTCAAAGGTCCTATTGAAATATGCCTGTTTTCATAAATCTCTAATGTGCAGACAACTGGAATGAACACTGTTAATGTCATTAGTCTCCTATATTCCAGTTGAAAACATCTCCCGACCTTGGAAGACTGGCCATTCCCAGCTCCTCCTTGGCCTGCGGATCCTATATGTCCTCTACCTCCTTTTCTTGACCACTGCTGGACCAGCTTCCTCTCCCTCCCTTTTCTTCCTTTAATCTCTTCTTTTCTTCCCCCTTTCTCCCCTCTGTCCTGGCTTTTACCATCTGCAAATTAGTGCCTGGTGCTAGGGGTGGGGATAAAGAGTGCACAAAAGAAATAAAAACTATTCTTGAGGTCTGGTCAATTCATTGGCAAGCCTTAAGGAAATATTCAAGAACTAACCTGAGAATATGAGCATGTTCCTAGGTAATCTAAACTAAAACTCGTTATTCCTCCTTCTTCCCCCACCTTCGCCCCTCCTCCTAATTCCCACCTTGCAAGGCTGGCTTTCAGAGCCTGGGTCCAAGCAGCCCTCTGTTCAGCACTCAGAGCCTGCAGGCATGGCTGTCCTTCCTCCCAGCGCCCCCTAGCGCTCCCTCTAGGCCTTTCAGCGCCTCCCTTCCCACCGCCCTGTTATGTGTTTGTCCCAGGACCACCTCCAACAGTGCTTATTTCAAGCTGTGCAGTGTTCCAATGAGAGCTGTCGGCAGCCAGTCCTTCGGAAAGATCTGAAAGAGCACGTGAGCGCAGACTGCCAATTTCGAGAGGAAAAATGCCTCTATTGCAAAAAGGAGGTGGTAGTCATCAATCTACAGGTAAAAAAATAAAAAATTCCTCACCTTTAGGGGGCTAAATTCTGCTGGAGTGATCACAGGGAATCAGATGGGCTACCAGAAGCCCACCTTTCTGGATTTATTTTTGTACAGAAATACTAGGTCTAAAGAATAACTTCATGTGAGAGAAGTCGTGTAAGAAACAAAAGCCCTCTTGGTGGTAGGACTGTACTCGTTTATCATGGGCAAAAATATTGTTTGAACACCTGCTGAGGATGAGTGTGCAAGGAGGGACGCTAGAGATGGGTCACAAGGAGGTGGCAGTACTGTCTGTCCTCAGGATGCTGTGGTCTGACCGGGGAGGTTGGCTGTGGGCATAAAACAAGAGCATGGGTACCTTTCACCTGTGCCAGAGGAGCCGCACTGATGACTCCCACAGCCTGCCCTCTCGGAGTCCTGTGCCCTCCGACTATCTTTCGGAATAACTGGGGAATTTAATGGAACTGAATTCCTTTATACCAGTGGTTCGCAACCTTCTGGCCCTTTACATACAGTTCCTGATGTTGTGACCCAACCATAAAATTATTTCGTTGCTACTTCATAACTGTAATGTTGCTACTGTTATGAATCGTAATGTAAATATCTGATATGCAGGATGGTCTTAGGCGACCCCTGTGAAAGGGTCGTTCAACCGCCAAAGGGGTCGCGACCCACAGGTTGAGAACCGCTGCTTTATAACAAGAAAGCGGCCGTCTATATGCGATCCTTTCTGGAAGTGGGCCATACCTTCCTGACGGTGAGCCACATACATAGATTCCCAAAGAGACATGTGTATAAACACTCTGAGGGCATACAAGGGAACCCTTGAAAGCGAAGGTGGCTTTGTCTCATCACATTCTTTCTGTTTCAGAATCATGAAGAAAACGTGTGTCCCGAGTACCCAGTACCTTGTCCCAACAAGTGTGTGCAGATGATTCCCAGAAATGAGGTAACTGTAAATCATTCTCTCAGTAGATTTCATGTAAGATAACGTTTTAGCGGTCGTGATGGGGTGTGTCTGACAAAATCGCCTACGCGAAGGCCCCAGGCTTAAACGACACCCATGATAACCATGTCTCTGTCTTCCCCTCCCATTTCCCGAGAGTTCTCCTCCGTTTTCACCATAGCACTCCCTCCACCAAGCCTTAGCACCGCCTTTTCCTGCTCCTGTTCCCGCCCTTCTTCCCAAGCCTCCCTTGGCTCCCCGCTTGCTGCAGTTACACCAGACAGTGGAGAATGGCCGATGAATTTCTGTAGCGTGAGGCTGTCCCTTTCGTAGGTGGATAAACACCTGGCTGTGTGTCCTGAAGCGGAACAAGACTGTCCTTTCAAGCACTATGGCTGTCCTGTAAAGGTATGGAGCGCCTTTCTGTTTCTGCCTCTACATTCTGCTGTGTAATTCATTGGGTGAGTTCCTTGTACTCTTTGATTCCATCCGGGATGCAAAAGGACATTCACTTATGAGAACTTTAAGGCTGGGAATTGTATTTGTTATGGTTCTCCAGAGACATAGAACCAACAGGAGATATGTAATATATACTTAAATATATATAATATATACTTACATATACACTATATATGTAAGTGTATATTTATATATTTTTGTATATATGTGTGTGTGTGTGTGTATACACACACACACACACACATATATATTTGTCTTTATAAGGGGTAGGGTTTACCTTTACCTTTCCAGTGCATGAAATACAGAATTGCTTTCCAGCTCTGAAAGAAATCGTCTTTATAGTTAGGCCCAAACTTCCAATTGGGTTGTATTCTAGAATTTACATCAGTACCAAAGCTGGGGGATTTATTCTCCAGCCAAGGGGCCAACCCTAAACAGAAGGGAAATCGATGACAAATGTTTGCTTCGAATTCATGGATCACCCAGAATCCCTAAGATTTGCTTTTATTGGTTAACTAGAGGCCCAGTGCACAAAAATTTGTGCACTCGGGGGGAAGGCGGGGGGGGGGTCCCTCAGCCGGCCTGTGCCCTCTCGAAGTCTGGGACCCCTCGGGAGATAACGACCTGCTGGCTTAGGCCTGCTCCCGGGTGGCAGAGGGCAGGCCCAATCCCTAGGTGCAGCCCCTGGTCAGGCTCAGAGCAGGGCTGATTGGGGAGTTGGGGCGCCGCCCCTGTCATGCACAGAGCAGGGCGGATCGGGAGGTTGCAATGCCACCCTCAGTCACGCTCAGGGTAGGGCCGATTGGGGGGTTGGGGCACCTCCCAGTCACACTCAAGACAGGGTCGATGGGCAGGTTGCGGCGCCACCCCCTGTCACGCACAGAGCAGGGCCAATCGGGGTTGGGGCGCCGCCCCCTGTCACTCAGAGAGCAGGGCCCATCAGGAGGGTTGGGGCTCCGTACCCTGTCACACACAGAGCAGGGCCGATGGGGAGGTTATGGCTCTACCCCGGCACACACAGAGCAGGGCCCATGCGGGGGGAGAGGGCTGGGGCGCCGCACCCTGTCACACACAGAGCAGGGCCGATCAGGGGGTCTGTCACACACAGAGCCACAGGGCGGTCAGAGGTTGGGGAGCTCCCCCCTATCAGGCACAGAGCAGGGCTGATCAGGGGGTTGGGGCGCCTTCCCCTGTCACGAACAGAGCAGGGCAGATAGGGAGGTTGTGGCCCTGCCCCCTGTCACACACAGAGCCGCAGGGTGATCAGGGGGTTTGGGCGCTGCCCCCTGTCACGCTGATCCTGGTGCTGGGAGGCATATTACCCTTTTACTATGTAGAGGCCTGGTGCACGGGTGGGGGCCCGCTGGTTTGCCCTGAAGGGTGTCCTGGATCAGGGTGGGGGTCCCCACTGGGGTGCCTGGCCAGCCTGGATGAGGGGATGATGGCTGTTTGCAGCTGGTCACACACCCTTCAGGGTGGGGGTCCCCACTGGGGTGCCTGGCCAGTCTGGGTGAGGGGCTGAGGACTGTTTTCAGGCTGGCGGGTGACTAAAGCTCCCAACCGCTCTTTTTTTTTTTTTTTCTTTTTTATTCTGGGCCAGCTTTAGCTCTGAGGCTCCAGCTCTTAGGCCTCCGCTGCTGAAAGCAGGTTTCTGGCCTTTGTTTACCTTCTGTATTTGAAACAATGTTGCGATCCTGCTGGCTGAAGCCCAGCGACTAAAGCAGGTTTCTGGGGTTTTGTTTAGCTTCTATATTTGTAACATAGTTGCTTAGAGTTGCAGCTCAGAGGCCGGCAGCGGCAGGCGGGGAACGTTGGTTTCCTCTGTCACTGAAGCAAGCAAGCCTCATGTTAGTTTCAAGCTGCCTGGCTCCCGGCCGCCATCTTGGCTGGCAGTTAATTTGCATATCGCCCTGATTAGCCAATGGGAAGGGTAGTGGTCGTATGCTAATTACCATGTTTCTCTTTTATTAGATAGGATATAGGCACTTTGCAATGATTGTGAGGGCAATAAATTTGCTTGGGCTGGAATTAGAATTAGGTTGCATACCTTCAGCCTGTGATAGCAGGATGGTGATAGAAGAATGGAAATGTGCTTAGCAGGAGGGAGAACTAACCTAGCTTAGAACTGGTCGGGAGATAGTTCAGCTAGAAGATAGGTTTTCTATAGGAAGAGTTGAAAGATGATAATAATTACACTTAGCCCACAGTCATATGGAGGGTGGGGCAAAAGTAGGGTTACAGTTGTTCATATGGCAAAGAATACAATAATTAATAAATAGGAATATAAGAATAGCAGCTCTCTCTGTGGAGCACACTTACGCCTTCCCCACCTCCTTTCCCCCAAGTACATTTTCCTGACCTCTCTCTTTCTCCTAAGCTCAAAGGGCCCTTCTTTTGTCTCTGTCTCTTGTTTCCTGAGCCCATTTCTTCTACCTCTGTGGCTTTCTCAATAAATTCTTCCTTATATTTTGAGTCTTGGCTCTGAATTCTTCCTTGGCCAGAATTCAAGGACTGATGTTGCTAAACCAAGATCCCGTCATTGGTAACATTCTGGTGCCATTTTCACCACCAACATGATGGCGCCGTAACTCAGATACCCTTACCAATACACAGATTGTCTTATTATGGTGTAGTGCAGTGGGATTCCAGAGGATCCCATCCATGGCCACCTTGCAGACCTGGACTGTACTAGGTACAAACAGGGGCCCGCTGTGCCCCACTGGCTCCTCGCTTTGCAATGGTGGACTTGAGTGAGTTTTCTTTGGAAATCCAGACTTCCCTGTTTTAAGGTTAGACGCAGGGTTGGGCAAACTTTTTGACTCGAGGGCCACAATGGGTTCTTAAACTGGACCGGAGGGCCGGAACAAAAGCATGGATGGAGTGTTTGTGTGAACTAATATAAATTCAAAGTAAACATCATTACATAAAAGGGTACGGTCTTTTTTTTCAATAGTTTTATTCATTCCGGCCCGCGGGCCGTAGTTTGCCCACGGCTGGGGCTGACTTTCTTTGAGCTGTTTTGTGAAATCCTCAAGGTGGAGCTAAAGGTTAAGGCTAAAAATTTATTGCCCTCACAATCATTGCAAAGTGCCTATATCCTATCTTAGGCTAAAAAAAAGGGTCGGTAGAAAGATGGGGGGGTGGGGCGGGTGGCTGGTTTTTCAATTGGAATTGCTTTCTGAAGGTCTGAACAAAACCTTTGATGGGTAAATGAGAACCTAAACTTATTTGGCTCTAAAGATAAGGGGCACACCCTCCTCCAGCTGTAACCTTGGGTATTCTTAGGCAACTAAGAATCTCTGTAGAGGTGTCAGAGGAATCCCTCACAATGTACAGGAGCCCCGTAGGGAAGTCCAATTCAACTGTAATTAAATAACTGACTCCTGCCCTAGCCAGCTTGACTCAGTGGATAGAGCGTCAGCCTGGGGACTGAAGGGTCCCCAAGCTCGATTCCAGTCAAGGGCACGTACTTCAGTCGCAGGCTTGATCCCAGCCCTAATCAGGGACGTGCAGGAGGCAACCAATTGATGTCTCTCACATTGATGTTTCTCTCTGTGTGTCTCTTCCTCTCCCTTCCACCCTCTCTAAAAATCAATGAGAAAATGTCCTTGGGTGAGGATTAAGAACAAAAGTTAATAATTGACTCATGTGGGGATGTGCACATAAAGGTTGGTTGCCTAGCACTCTCAGTCCTCGTGGCTGTTATTAGGCAGCTGGGGAGAGAAACGAAACAGATAAGAGAGTTTGAGATGACTCGGAAAGTGGCATCCCCTTGGAGCTCACCCACAAGCAGCACATAAACTCCAACCCCCTACACAATATCCCTAGAAATTTTGTTCAGACTCTACAAATCTCAAAATAAAATTAACATGAGAAATTATGCCCCTAAGGCTGGAAACTCCCAGCCTCAGCTCCCATAAATACTCCTGCAGATATACAATAAATAGGAAGCCTTTAGCAATCGTGATGGCTAAAACTTTATCTTACATAATACAAGCATAAACTCTGTGTTTCGCGTACTCACAACTGTAAACCTACTTTGCCCCACCCTTTATTCTCAGGGCAAGGAAGGAAATCAGCATTGAGAGTTTTGATAGCGGCCTGATTCTCTGCCCCTGTAAGTTTAAAATGGTCTCATGGGTACTGTAGAATCTTAACCCTGGAAAGGGGACTGGAGGGCCATTTCCCCCGCAACCCACCTTGAGACAAGTAAGCAACGTTTTTGAAGTTCTGTTTTAGCAGAGTATCCCACCACCCTCCTCGTCTGGGGACACTTTCCACAACCTGCCTTATTTTTCTCTTCGTGTTGAAGGGTAAACCGTCGAACCTGAAGCAGCATGAGCACTCGGCCTTACGGGACCACATGCTTCTCATTTTAGAAAAGAACTTCCGATTAGAAGAACAGGTAAATGAATATTCAAGGGTTCAACTATGAAAGGCGGGCAGCAGAATTGCTGGGATTTGCAATTCTTGGTGTTCTTATATTCTGTTTCAGTGTAAGTCAACCGGAGGTAGGTCTTTTTCTATGAAGTGGCCAGACAGAGTCATAGGATTGTAGAACATGGGAAGTGGAAGATGCCTTTGAGATCCTCATTCAACAGAGGAAGTAACTCAAAGTTTGATGTGTTTGTAACTTGTGTCAGAATTTGATCTCAAACCCATGTCCCATAGTCCTGTCTGCAGCCTCTCGACACACCTTTTAGTTAATGATACCTGGCACCTAGGAGGTGCCTAGGAGGTGTCTGATGTTTTAAATGAAGCCCGTATTACCGTGAAGTAGCAGTCGACAATCTCTTCTAGGCACTATGGGTTTATGTATTTTGTAGTAAGTCCTAACTCCTGCCTTTGAGAAGCTTTGCAACCTGATAAATGCCCACGTCCATATTTAGTTCACTGAGTTGCGATTATCAAGTGAAAGTATGTGTGCAGATGATGATTTTGTTGAGTAATTATTGTAAGAGTTAACTGTCTTATTAGCACATCTCAGCGGATCAGACTTTTCAAGCTCACATAGGGAAGAACACCATCTATTGCAGACAGGGAGCTGGATTTCCTCTTATCGATTATTTTATGATGTCTGAGTTCAGATTAAAGTAGGTGTGTGAGTTCTAGGGTCAGATCCCGGAGAAAATTAGAAAGACCGATCAAACTGTAACTTTGGTAGAAACCATGCTGCCTAGTAGCCTTCCCAAGCTCTTTCTGTATCATTGCCTCATGCATCCATCCATACATTTAACAAACACCTCCCACAAGTCAGATACAGTGTTAGCTGCTAGGAACACTGAGTTGAGGAAGAACTCACAGAAATGTAGACAGGCAAGTTGCCGAGCCTCACAGGACATGCTGTGGGGGTACCCTGTGTCTGGGTTCAGGGGCTGCCTCAGTATACTCCAGGGGAGTTGGGAAAGGACATCAGAGTTACATCTTGAAGGAAGAGAAGGTCTGTCGGTTAAAATGTTGTGGAAAGAGGACATCCCAGAAGGGGAAAGATTGTGCCAACATAGGGAGGCATGAGAGAGGCTGACAGTTCAAGGAAATGTGCTTTTGGGGTGGAAAGATAGCCGAGTGAGAGACACGGAATGGCCGGAAGTGTGGTCTGTTGGATCCAGATTGCAGTGGCCTTCCACGTGAGCCAAGACATGTTTGAACACGATGCATTCAGTTATTTTTTCACTCATTAATATTCTGCCTAATACTAGAAAGGATCTGAGGGCCAAAAATGTGAACTATGTTTGTCAGTAATAGGGAACTAATGGAGGCTTTTACATTGGAAAAATACTTGGCCAGCTAATTGTTTGTTTGGTTTTAAAAGTAAGACAGCTGGCAGTCGCATGGAGGATGGATAGAGGGAGAGAAGGGAAGAGAATGAGGACAGCGGGACCAGGCATAAGGGGTTGCAATAAACTAGACAGTGTAGCAGTAGAGCCAGAAATTGATGAGTGAGAGCTCTGTGCCAGAATGCCTGGGTTCCAGGACTGGTTCCCCAGTAGTCCCATGAGTTTGAGGATGCTACCTAACCTCTCTCTTCCCCAATTTCCTAATTTGTAAAATGGGGTTGTGGTGAGGGTTAAGAGGTAATGTATTTAAGCTCTTGGCACAGCATTTCAATGTTAGGTGGAGACAAGATGCTGGAAGAGGTGAGGTGATGGGGAAGGATTGATCCAGGCTGTGTTAGTGGGGATGGAAAGAAGATATTGGGAAACATTCAGAGATTGGATTGGGATGCTGCAAGCTTAGAAGGCAAGGAACATGGTAGAGGTCAGGAGCAGGTTAGATGTGAGGGTGGGGAGATGCCTGAGTTTGCTCTTGTTCAGGGAGACAAGTCTGGTGCATGGGTGGAAGTCAGCTCTTGGGATCTTAGTAGATTCTGGGTCAGAGATCAGATGGTTGTTGCAAGCTATTTGTGCATTCATTCATAATGCCTTCTGTGTGCCAGGCACTTTGTGAGTCTTTGGGGATAAAGAAATAAGATGTAGTACCAACAATTTAATGAAGAAAAAAAAAACCCTAAATAATAACAGCAATAACAACAAAAAGCAGTAAGAGTAATAAAGGTAAGTTATACACTAGATTATGGTCAGGGTGTCATGGAACTTGTGAGGTGGCCTGGGTAGGTGGTCCTAGTAAGGAAATGTAGTTCTGAGAGGATATGCTCTTAAGTGGAGGCTGAGAAAGGAGTACTTTCTAGATGGAGGAGGAAGTGTCTGAGAGACCAAGGCTTGATGGGAAATAGAAGTTGTGTGGTCTCACTGGTCAGGGCGCATGTGAAATGTGAATGGGCATGAGGCTGAAAAGGCAGCCAGGGAAGACTATAGGGCCTTGGATGGCCTGTAAAAGGCCACTAGAGATAGGTAAGTGGGGGTGACAAGACCAGATCTGTCTCTTCATATTATTGTGGACACCATATGGAATATGCATTGGAGAAAAAGATTAAAGACAAGAAGCATTCATTCACTCATTCAACAAATATTTATCAGGCACCTACTGATGCCAGGCCCGTTGCTGGGGTTACAGTGGCCATGGGATCCATGCCAGTCCCGGCTCCCATAGACACCCTTTTGGCACATGTGTGAGGGAGAGTGTAGGACCAATTAGGCCGCCATTGTAACAGTCCTGTGGGAAGTTATGAAGGCTGAAACAAGATGAGATGAAATGAGAAATGGATATTTTGTTTGTTTTGTTGTGTGTTAGGAAGTTAAGTTGGCAAGTATTGCTGAATGAGTGGATATGAGGGTGAGAGAAGAGTTGTCTAGGTCACTCTTAGATTTTTGGTTATTTCTTTCAAATAGATTCTGAATTCTGAGAGAGTAGTGCATTTTGCCTACCACTGGCTAGCTCTGTGCTGGGCGGGTTACTTAAACTCTCTGTTCCTCTGTTTTGTCATCTGTAAATGAGTGAATGAAGAGAACCAGTTCAGTAAATTCAGCCACATGATGTCACTATCATTAGATGAACCATCATAGCGGGTTAGGCATAGGAAAAGCTGATGAGACATCTGTGGATCAGGTATTTTTCAAAGCACCTGCAAGTATTTTCCTAGAATTATATAGGAATCTACCTGTAAATATTTTCCTAGAAATATATACATACACACACATATATATATAGTTTTCCTCAAAACACTTTCTTACCTGCAATATTTTCCTAGAAGTATATTTAATATGTATGCCTGCATTTAAATGACCTCATTCACATTCCTGTTACTAGATTTCTGACTTGTATAAGAGCCTAGAACGGAAAGAAAGCAAAATCCAGCAGCTAGCAGAAACTGTAAAGAAATTCGAAAAGGAGTTCAAGCAGTTCACACAGCTGTTTGGCAAAAATGGAAACTTCCTCTCAAACATCCAGGTGAGAAACGACCTTGCTACTGATAGCCAAGATTTAGACTTCAATTAATTGGCAGTGAGGGTTCCTCTTATCAGTTTTGTTGTTGTTAATCCTCACCCAAGGATATTTTTCCCATTGATTTTTAGAGAGAGTGGAAGAGAGGGAGGGAGGGGGGAAAGAAAGAGAGAGAGAGAAACTTTGATGTGAGGGAGACACATCGATTGGTTGCCTCCCGCACACGCCCTGACTGGGGCCAGAGATCAAACCTGCAACCCAGGTATGTGTCCTTGACCAAAAGCCGCAGGCCGGTGCTCTAACCACTGTGAACGCCAGTCAGGCCTCTCCCTTTGTTCTTCTCGAACCAGTTGAGAATAAGCTGCATATATTGGGGCATTTTACCCCTTCATACTTTAGTATGTATTTTGTAAGAATAAAGATCTTTTACAGAACCCCAGTACATTTAGCAACATCAGTAAATTTAACATTAATTCTTTTATGTCATTTATGGCATTTAGGGTTTTAATTCATGTTGGGCCAATATTAGTCACTTGGTTCATTGAGAACATCTATAGTTCTGCTTTTTATAGTCAACAAAGTGAAACTATTAATTCTCTTGGGAAGAAAATGCTTTAAATACCACTCAGATATAGCAAAATTATTTGTAAATCATGAATGTGAAATAACCATAAACAAATTCCTAATGAATAATGTCTTTATTGTGATTATAAAATAATAACATTTATAGTGAAAAAGACATGTGGTATGGGCAATAGTTTTGAAATTTGGGTCCAAGAAGATGCAGGCCATATAGTTTGCATACTTTGTCAGCACACTGTGTGTGTGTGTGTGTATGTGTGTGTCGAGAAAAGGAAATGCATTATATGTTACCATTTAAATTCTTTTTCTAACACAGTGAGAAGTCAGAATTCAAGCATTGGGGAGGGAACTATTGTTTTAGTTGTATTTAACCTCTTCCATTTAAAGAGAGCAATCAGAAGGCCAGGCCTCATCTCAGGGCACTTGTGTACACCTGTAGTGCTCAGGCCAGAACAGGTGGCTGACTTCCAGCTCCTTCTCTGCCTTCTCGCAGAACAGAAGTGAATCCGGAGGGTAGCTTCTAAGAAGGCAGTGATAGGTAAGAGGAGAGAGAGCATGAGACCAGAGATCTAAAGAGAGGTTAGATAACTAAGTGGAGAGAAATTGAGAGGAGTAAAAATCAGGTGAGAAATTTAAAGATTTGGAACAGGAGCTGAGATAGAGAGGGGGAGGAGGAGGAGGAGGAGGAGGAGGGAGAGGAGGAGGAGGAGGGGGAGGGGGAGGAGGAAGGGAAGGACGAGGACGAGGAAGATATAGGTGGTTAATCTCTCTGCATCCTCATTGAATTTTCTGTTCTGGACTATGTAGTTTTCATTTCATTAATTGATTAATTAAATGCGAAATGTTTGAATTGAAAATTGCATCTTGATGAATTACTAAGATATTAATTGACTAAGATATTAATGTCCATTTTGTACTGAAAGGTTCTTGCCAGTCACATTGACAAGTCAGCTTGGCTAGAAGCTCAAGTGCGTCAATTATTACAGATGGCAAACCAGCAACAAAATAAATTCGATCTGAGGCCTTTGGTAGAAGCGATTGATACAGTGAAAGAGAAAATAACCCTGCTAGAAAGCAATGATCAAAGATTAGGTATGTCTAATATTTTATGCTTCCCTTTTGATGACTCTTGTCTGCATGTGTTCATGAAACAAGCAAACACCTGGCCAAATGGAGTCACAGCCGTCCAGAAGAAACTGGTTGAATCTGGTATTTGCGAAACACAACAGCATGATATTCTGGCTACTCAGGCAAAAATCATGAAGAGCCATAATGGGGGCCGGAAGAGGCAAAGGGTAGAAAAGGGCCAGGAAATGCCAGGAACAAGGGAATGGTGGCTTTTAATTGAGAGTGGGAAATAAGGAGAAAGCTAAGAAAAATGTGGTCGGAACACTGTTTGAAGTGGAAGCATACCTTGGAGATACTGCGGGTTTGATTCCAGACCACCGCAATAAAGCAGGTATCGCAATGCAGTGAGCCACAGATGTTTGGTTTCCCAGTACATACAAAAGTTACATTTACACTATACGTAGTCTATTAAGTGTGCAATAGAGTTGTCTGAAAAAAAACTAATGTACCTGCCTTAATTAAATAATACTTTATCACCAAGAAATGCTGTCATCTGAGGCTTCAGTGAGTCGTCATCGTTTTGCTGGGTGAAGGCTCTTACCCTAGTAACATCAAAGATCACTGATCACAGATCACCATCACAAATGTAATGAAAAAATTGGATATATTGCCAGAATTCCCAAAATGTGACACAGAGATAGGAAGTGAGCAAATGCTGCTGAAAAATTGGTGCCGTGCCGATAGGCTTGCTTGAGGCAGCGTTGTACAGAGAAACATAAGAGGGTTTGGTTGTTTAAAAGCATCCCGGTTTGAAAACGGGGGCTCACAGGCTCGCACATGTTAGTTGAATGTTGAGTGTCTTCTCTACATGTGGGTGAGTTTCAGGTCAAGAGAACACATGCAAGTTTGCTTGGCGCCACTCTTGCCAAGACGTGAGATTCACAGAGTTGCTATTAGTAATACAAATGGTCCATTGGCGGACATCGAATTCTAAAAACAACTTCTAAAAACAACTCAGGCCTTACAGCATCTGTTTGTTTGTTTGTTTGTTTGCAGTTGTTCTGGAAGGGGAGACGAACAAACACGACGCCCACATTAATATTCATAAAGCACAGCTGAATAAAAATGAAGAGCGATTCAAACTGCTGGAAGGCGCCTGCTACAATGGAAAGCTCATCTGGAAGGTGACCGACTATGCGATGAAGAAGAGGGAGGCGCTGGACGGGCACACGGTGTCCATCTTCAGCCAGCCCTTCTACACCAGTCGGTGTGGCTACCGCCTCTGCGCCAGAGCCTACTTGAACGGGGACGGGTCCGGGAAGGGGACGCACCTGTCGCTGTACTTTGTGGTGATGCGAGGGGAGTTTGACTCACTGTTGCAGTGGCCGTTCCGGCAAAGAGTCACCCTGATGCTTTTGGACCAGAGTGGCAAAAAGAACCACATTATGGAGACCTTCAAGGCTGACCCCAATAGCAGCAGCTTTAAACGCCCCGACGGGGAGATGAACATTGCCTCCGGCTGTCCACGCTTTGTGGCTCACTCCACTTTGGAGAATGCCAAGAACACCTACATTAAAGATGACACCATCTTCTTGAAAGTGGTAGTGGATTTAACTGACCTGGAGGAGCTCTAGGCACTGTTTCTGGGGGTATACGAGGACGTCTTGGGTCCAGGACCGTGGAGGAAACCTTTGGTTAGCGCGGTGACTGAATTTCAACTCAGTCCACATTTGTATTTGGCCTTTGCCCTTAGTGTTTGAAGTCAGTTTAAAACTTTCTAAGTGCTGTCTTCTTTTTACATTTAACTCTTTCCCAGTTTGAAAGTTAAAGTACTTAGGATATCCTCTAATTTATATTTTTCTATCTCTTGAAAGTTTATTGAAAGCAAGGTCTGGGACATCTCTTTTTTGCTGGTGCTTAGCATGGGGTCTGAGAGTAGGCACTCTATGTTAAATGTCAATGAGGACACAGGTGTAGAATTCCCAGTTGAAAATGCTTGGTATTTGGTCTGCTGGTTCTAGACTTGACCATATGCCTACAAAAGCCGTCTTCTAAGGTGGATTGTTCCAGATCAGTAGATGGATGGTGTAATTACAAGACAGTATGTCCAGTTGGAACAGACGTTTTTGGGTCAGATCCTGAATTACTACACCTCTAAATATTTTCATGAAGGTCACCAGTAGTCAGCAGACACAATTTTTGAAGGCTGCATAAGTGGTGACAAGAGTAGGCATCTTCATTCTCCCTGTTGAAATAAAGAAGGAAGTACCACATAGCATATAAAAAAAGGAGATATAAACATCCAACTAAAGTCCAGATTTTGTTAGGGTCAACCATATGGAAAACTGTTTTTATAGATCAAAAACAAATATTAAGAGTTTAATAAGGTTCAACTTAATGTATATATGTGTATGTATATGTATACAAATAACTTAAAAGTATTTGGGTAATAACAGTAAACTAATGTGAGGATGGGCAGAATTTAGTATATGATGGAGAAAATGTCATAAATGAATGAGGAATTTAAAACCTAGGGAAGACATCATTACAATTTCCCATGGTGTCAGAACACTCCTATCCAAAACTGATTGCTAAACACAGTTCTCCCATTCTTCTTGAGAACATTTTTATTTCATAGATTGGTATGAAAATGGGTATTTATATAAACTTGTGACTGTTCTTGTTGCAATCCTAAGTATTCTGTGAAGAACAGAAGTGACTATGTTCTTATCATTTTTCTGTATGGGTCTGAAGGTGTATATTCAAGTCAAGATTGAGTCCTACTGACTCCTGATAGACCTGAGGTTAACAAAAAATACCCAGTGTGCCTGAGCCCTAATTCATTCTCATGCAACTGAGCACCCCCTCCCCCCATGTGGCCTGGCTCCCTTGCTCCTGCAAGGACAAGTGCCACCGGCTGAGGGACACTCAGCACAGCTCACTCAGGCGATGACCATGCACCTTACAACTGAACAGTTAACCTGAAGAAGAGGTATGATTTATACCCGTGGCTTCTGGAATAACTGAAACTTCCTTAATCTCTTCTGTGAAATTTTCAAGATGCTAAAAAACTAAAGTGCAGAAATCATCTCAACGGGTTAAATTCAAAGAAATAAGTTCACAATAGAAACACTCTCAAGAACTACACTGTAGCTGCTGGTAAACCCTGGTACAGTCGATGGTCAACATGTCAGATCAGACAAACTCAGGAAGCCTTCCTCTAGACCACACAGGTGGTTCTCCGTGTTCGTTTTCAGTGTCTCTAATCAAGTTCAAGATCACCCCGTATTCCTGGGGAGTGGGAGATCATATTGTTGTAACGAGTTTTAAGTAGATGATGTGAAAAACATTTTAAAGTGAATTTATTAAAATACTAGTTTTGTGTTTTATCCAACTTCTCCACATAAAAAGTATAAGTGATGGCATGGTTTGCTTACCAATTCGTAATCCCTTCATCATTGAAACAGTGATCACAAAATGAGGTATTCTAGAGTAAAAAGCCCTCCTTTCCTAAAAAATCAGAGTTATAATTTTTGTTTTAAAGAGGCAGATCCATGTAAAATATTTTTTCCTCTTTTACAATATGAAATCATTTTAATCTATGTCAATAAGATTCCAATTTTATTTACATTTTTATTTTATATCAATTCCTGGTGAAGAAAAAACAATACACTAGGCATAAAAGGGGCATTAACCTTGAGAAATATATTTGCAGGATTGAAGTAGGGTGTGGAAGTGGGGTCATACTAATGCATATTAACAGATCGGGGTTCAAAACCCTGATTTCCAAATATCCTGTGTTCAGAGAAAGAAGAAATAGTCACAGCCAAGTTCAACTCATAGGGCCAGCCTTGGATGCAAGTAAACAGGAGATACCAACCCTTTGTGTGGCCCCTCAGACAATCCATTGACACTGCCGATGCCGACTACCTTTTTACTTTTAGAAAATGGTTGGAGAAGGCATGTTCAGGGGTAAGGGAAGTACAAGGGAGATGGGAAAGGAATGTCCGTAGGACCGAATGCCACCCTGAGAACAGTAGTGTTCCCTGTGCACCCACAGCTGACTCTTGAATCATTATCCACCCCCATGCTGCTCCCTCCTCTGTCTGTATCTCTGACCTTGGCCTTTGCTTAAGCTGCAGACTCCTATATCCAAGTACGCACTGATCATCTAAACTTAGAAGTCCTACAGGGACTTTAAAGTCAGCTTTACTAAAACTGAGCTGGAAATCTTCCCACTCTCTACCACCGCCAACCTGAATCCTCTGTGTATTCTACCCCAGATAATGACATCACCATCCAAATGAGAAGTTTGGACACTGTTCTAGATTCCTCCCTCACTGTCTCCATCCAATCACCCACCCAGTTCTGCCAATATGACCCCCAGATAACTTTTTAAAATTATTCCTAACTACTTACCCCTACTGCCTACTTTTTTAAAAAGGTTATCTACCAGAAACCTTCAAAAAACATGAACAACATGTAATATGCAATCCAAATAACTTCTGGAAAGAACTGCCCGAGGCCACTATACAGTGGTACTGAATTTAGGAGGAAAGCCAAAAATTGGTCTTTACAGATAGATGAATTCTTACCTATAAAACCCAAAAGAATTGGTTCAGCCGAATGACCAGACAGATCAACATACCAAAAAAACAAATTATCCTAGGGTTTATTACAAAGAGTAAACTAAAACAGCAACAAAAGCTGGGAGGTAAAAACCTAAAGGAAAATGTGCAGAACAGCAAGAAAACTGGAAGACTTCACATGAATAAACAAGGGAAGACTCCAATTCATGGAGCAATAACCACATTACCAGACGGCCTCAATACTGTACTGGTATCAAATCTGGGCAAATTAATCTACCAAAAAACAAATCCCGGAAAACTGTGCCACGTGGCCACAATCTGTAACAGAACCTGAAATGAAATCACAAATTCCGGGAAAATGCTGCCATTTCTTGACACTCTTATAAAATTTGGCCCCACGATCTGAGGTTCTGGGCGATTATGCGGAAACGCTCTGCAACGAGTCAAACCCCAGACATTAAGCCAAGCCCGTGCCCACAGGCCGGACTGTAAGCCCTGCGCCCTGCGCCGGAAGAGCCACGTGGGCCCCGCCCCTATCTGTGTCGTGGGCGGGACATTTCTGGCCAGCTGGCGTGTGCGCATGCGCAGAGGCCCCGCCCCGCCCACCCGGCTCATTACCTCGTGGTCCGGCGTCGGGCTCCGCAGAGGCGGCGGGTGCTCGCTGCCCTGGTTCTTCAGCACCCTCGGGCCGGGCTGGAGCCGGCCCAGGAAGGTCGTTTCCCTGCAGTTTACAGTAAGTGTCGGAGCTCTGGCTAGACAGAGGCCGCGCGGGCTTTTTCTTTCTACCTTTCCCCCAACTCCCTCCCCAGCCGGCCTCTGGGTCACATCCAGGACTGTGGGCCTCTCCTCCCCAAATCAGGCCGCGCCCAGCGCTCAGGGTTCCCCGGGAGATGAGCCCTTTCTGATAAGCGTTTCTCACGCATAGTCACTGGCTTCGCATATCTACGGTAAAGCCTCAGTATCGTGGGTAGTTTCTAGTGTCAGGAGAGTCATTTTATCGTAGGCTGATCTAAACAAGCAACATTCCGAGGGCATCTCATCACCCAAACCAGGTTGAGCAGCACCACGTTATTGGAGGCCCTGCCGAACGCCGCAGGGTGTGACCTTGGTCTGACCCTGTTCTCAGGGCTTGCTCTTCCTCCGGTTTTGAGGGCCCGCAGACACACCCCCCCCCCCCCCCCCCGGAAATGTTCTTTCCTCCAACTCCCTTTGGGAATCTGCTCTTTGTGGCGGCTTCTGAATCTTTCCTCTTTTCGTGAAAATCTCTCCCAAGGACCACCCATCTCGGTGCAGGGTCCTTTCCTAATCTCTCCTCCTACTAAATAAAAGAAACAATTAAAGAAAGAATCCCTTGAGAATAGGACACTGACCTAAGCGTTTTGAACGTATTTAATCATCACACCATTCCTTAGGTCAGTGGTTCTCAACCTTGGCTGCACATTAGAGTCACCTGGGAATCTTTTTAAAATCCTGATTTCTGGGCCGCATCCTCCGGAAATTCTGTTTCTTTGTTACTCATGTTGTGGCCCCAGCCCATAACAAAGAAACAGAATTTCCGGAGGACGAGGCCCAGAAATCCGGATTTTAAAAAGATTCCCAGGTGGTTCTAATGTGCAGCCAAGGTTGACAACCACTGCCTTCGGTAGATAGCAATGAGAAGACCGAGGCACAGAGAGTGTACATACTTTGCTTGCAGTAAACAGCTGGGTGTGATGGAGTTGAAATTTGAATCTCCTGTGTAGCTTGCCCCAAAGCTGGTGCCCTTACCTCTTTCTCTTTCCCATACACCTGGGCATCTCCCCTTTAGTTGTTTCTGGTGAGGAATTTTTCCTGAATGCTGTCTAGAATGTTCCTGTCTCTGAAAATGTGGCCGTTGTCTACAGACTTTCTCAGAGCTCTCCACACTGGCCCTTGAGTGCTCCGTTTTTACCAGGCGTCTAAGCTCTGAGTTTAGTAATATTTCACATCCTCAAAATGTACTTGATGCTTCGTTTTGTACTTCTAACCCAGTCCTCGTTAATCAGCCTTCTTCCCCTGAATGTCATTATTGTTATATCAGTGTTCTCGGCAAACATTTCAGCAGTTTGTATAAGACAAGATAATTGCAGCCCTCCCCTCCGAAGCCTACATGTTAAGAACACCTGATTTAGAGACATAACATGAACTGCAGTTCAAAAGGCAAGACCAAGCCAGATGTGAAGGGTCTTTAGCTTGTAGGCCAGTGGTTCTCAACCTTCCTAATGCCGCGACCCTTTAATACAATTCCTCATGTTGTGGTGACCCCCAACTTCATTGTTACAAATTGAACATAATTAAAGCATAGTGATGAATCCCAAAAACAATATGTAATTATATATGTGTTTTCCGATGGTCTACAGGCGACCCCTGTGAAAGGGTCATTCGACCCACAGGTTGAGAGCCGCTGTTGTAGGCAGTGCGGAAACATTGGAAGTTTAAGAAGATAAGTCTGGCGGCAATGTGAAGGATGTGGAGAAAGGCAGTGAGGCTCATTAGGCGACAGGTGGAATATTTTAGGTAGATAGATTAGGGGTCTTAAGGGGCTATGCCAAGCAGTATTGGGCTTAAGAGGAATTTTCAAGGACAAATCAAAAGGTTTGGTATCTGACTGAATATGGAATTGAAAGTCAGTGATAACAAGGCTTGAGGCTAGTACTGCTGCAGTTATGTCCTTTCTCTACTTGGTCTTGTGTTTAATTGTACTAGGTCATTTCTATAACATACATGCTCTAAGACAGCGGTTCTCAACCTGTGGGTCCCGACCTCTTTGGGAGTCGAACGACCCTTTCACAGGGGTCGCCTAAGACCATCGGAAAACACATGCATAATTACATATTGGTTTTGTGATTAATTATGTTCAATTTGTAACAATGAAAATACATCCTGCATATCAGACATTTACATTACGATTCATAACAGTAGCAAAATTACAGTTATGAAGTAGCAATGAAAATAATTTTATGGTTGGGGGTCACCACAACAGGAGGAACTGTATTAAAGGGTCGCGGCATTAGGAAGGTTGAGAACCACTGCTCTAAGAGCTGTCTTTACTGATCATGATAGACATTAAAAAACACAATAAGGGAATTCTACAAACAACTCTATACTTATCTCAGATGAAATGGATCACCATCAGAACTACCAAAATCCACCCAAGAAGAAAGGGATAAGCTGAACAGTTCTATACCAAAAAGGAAAACTCTCCAGTGCCATGTAGTTTCACTGGTGTATTTTACCAAACGTTTAAGGACAAAGTAATAGTCATTCTACACAAGCTATTCAGAGAATAGAAGAGGAAGGAAAACTTCCCAACTCATTTTATTAACCCAATGTTTCCTGATACCAAAACCAGATTAAAAAAAAACCTGAAAACCAAATCAGTGTTCCTCATAAACAAAGATGCAAAAAATCCTAAAAAAAAAATAGCAAACTGAATCCAGCAATGTGTAAAAGAAAAACACTTTGTCACTATCATTTATCCCAGGAATTCATGGCTGGTTCAACATTTGAAAATAAATTAGTATATCTTACTGTATTAACAGACTACATAAGAAAAACTACATATTCCTATCAATAGATGCAAAAAAAAGCACTTGGCAAAATTCAACATTGATGATTTTAAAAACTCAGCACCTTGAACCCAACAGATTCAACTGTGTTCTTTAAAAAAGAAAAAAACTCGACCAAGATGAGGAAAATCATATTTGGAGCCCCAAACAGAGTCTAATTCATCTAGAAGTCCTTGGCTCTTTAACAGCTATAGAAATGACCACTGTCTAATCCAGAGAACTAGCAGTGTGACTTGCTTCATAAGAGGACTCAGTAGCTGGAGCTCCTGGCCAGCTGAGCTTTGCCTGGCCTGGGCTTCCCAAATAAGACTGTTTGCACCTACAACTCAGCACCCCTGCTCCCATCTCCATCAAAGAGGCTACATTGCTGAAATGGTAGAGAGATGGTGAAGAGTGAGGAGAAGTGGCAGTAGCATTTGATATGGTCTTGATAGTCTTACCAGGAGATGGCATTCACTACTACTGTGTGTGTGTGTGTATATATATATTGATTTCAGAGGGGAAGGGAGAGGGAGAAAGAGATAGAAACATCAAGGATGAGAGAGAATCATTGATTGGCTGCCTCCAGCATGCCCCCTACTAGGGATGGAGCCTGCAACCCAGGCATGTGCCCTTGGTTGGAATCAAACCCAGGACCCTTCAGTCTGCAGGCCAATACTCTATCCACTGAGCCAAACCAGTTAGGGCTCTGTACTGTGCTTTCTATCTTAAAAATTGTCTCTATTTATAAAGAGCAAACAAATAGAATGTGTACTTACCAGTAAGTTACATAAAATAAGTGCCTGTGTTCATATCAGTGTTCCAAAAACAAACATGAATAAATAACAAACTAGGAATAGCAGGGACTCTGATAAAAGGAATCTACAAAACCTAGAGCTAACATCAGGCTTAATGGTGAAAGGGTGAATGTCCCCTACTCCTGATACAATATTGTATGTCAATTATAATTCAATTAAAATTGTTATTTTTTATTTAATTTATCTTTATTGCTGAAAGCATTATAGCTGTCCCCCTTTGTCCCCCCCCCCATCAATCCCCTCCATCCCGTACCTGCCCCCCACCCAGGCCTTCACCACACTATTGTCTGTGTCCATGAGTTATGCATATATGCATGTAAGTTCTTTGGTTAATCTCTTCCACAAACCACCACAACCCCCCTCGCCTTCCCTCAAGATCATATAGCTGTGCTTTGTGGGGGAGAGAGTGTATAAAAGTAAAATCAGGAAACCCAGTTATTGGCTGTTACAGTACTTTAAGTAAGAGATTTTAGTGGATTGGGCTAGAATAGACTTTCTCAATTTTGTCCCTTGTCATTGGGGTTGGATTATTTTAGTTGTGAAGAACTTTCCTGTGCATTGTAGGATATTTAGCTATATCCCTGGCCTCTAACTACTAGATCCCAAGTAGCAACTAAATTGTGACAAAATTCCAAGTTGTGATAACCAAAAATTGTTCCAGACATTAAAAAAAAATACACATAGGCCAATAAAACAATAGAGTGCCCAGAAATAAACTCATACATATATAGTCAACTCATCCTTGACAAGGGTACCAAAAATCACAGTGGGGAAAGAAGTACTTCAATAAATGGTAATGGGAAAACTGGACCACATCTTACACTACACACAAAAGTCAACTCAAAATGGATTACAAGCTTGAATATAAGACCTGAAACTATAAAACTTAAAGAAAACATGGGGAATAAGCTCCTTGACATCAGTTTTGGTGGTGATTTTTAAAATTTGATTTGTGTTTTTAATTATATGACTGTGCTTTGTTATAAATCAGATCTTGACACTCCCCTGCTTAAAAGCCTCCAGTCACTTCCCACTATCTATACTAATAAAAGGGTAATATGCTAATTAGACCAGATAGACTGGTTGTCTTCCAGACGTCATCCCCGATGTCCTTCCTGACAAAGCTGGGGGCCCGGGCGGTGTCGCCCGGGGTTCCGGGTGCCTGTGGCCTGCAAGAGGGAGGGAAGCCCGGGTCCCAGTTGCCTGCAGCCAGCCAGAGGAAGGAAGCCTTGGGCCCGGGTGCGGGGGCCAAGGCAGAGGTGGTTAGGGGTGATCGGGGCAGGCAGGCAGGCTAGTGGTTAGGGGTGATCAGGTAGGCAGGTAGGTGAGTGGTTAGGAGCCAGCAGTCCCAGATTGCGAGAGGGTGCAGGCCAGGCTAAGGAACACCCCCCCTCCCGCATGAATTTCGTGCACCGGGCCTCTAGTATTTAGGATGAAATTCCAACTCCTTAACATAAAGTTGGTTTTATACTTTTACATTGCCTGGTCCATGTCTACCTCTTAGCTCAGTTCATACCATTCCCCTTTGACTACTATGCTTGAGATTTACTTACCATCTTTCTGAATATCAAAAAAATGCTAAACTTGTTCTACCTCAAGGCCTTTGAACTTATTTTTTATCTGATCAAAAGTTTTTTCCTATAAGTTTTTTCTTTCACATGACTGGATGATTCTCATCTTTCAAATGTCAGGTCAAGTGTCACCTATTTAGAAGCAGACATTCCTATCCAGCAGGGCACTTCAATTATAGCACCTGCTTATTTTCTTCATAATAATTATCCTTAGAAATTATTTGGTTTCTTCTCCTGAAACTAGAATATAATCTCTGTGAATGTAGAAATCTTGTCTGTTTTGTTCACCACTATATTTCTAGTACTGGATTGGGGCTTAGTAAATAAATTAGGTGTATGAATGTGTGTATTAGGAGAAAAATGGTTTTACTTACAGAAATGGCTAAGTCTCCAAAGAGCTTAGTTTTACTTTAAAGTGCAGAGTGAAATAGATGTTCCAAAGAAAATGTTTATTAGAGACGAAGGATTAAAGGGATGGACAAATAAAAGGGCAGGAGGAGTAATATATTCATTGAAATTGTGTGACTAGATGAGATTTCTAAGAGCACTGTTTCTCAAAGTGCCACGGCTTCTTGAATTGCTAGAGGTCTCCCTCCAGATCTAGTGAAGATCTCTGGGTGTGGAGCACAGGAATTGCCTTTTTAAAGCTTCTTTGTCTCTCTTATGTGTATTAAAGTTTAGGAACCAATGGGATAGTGATAGAGAGGAGCAATCAAAAGATTCATCCTGAAGATGGCCTGTCTCTAAGGGTGGGAGGGAAACATGAAGCCCAAGGAGATAGGAATGATGGGCTGCAGGTGCCAGGGAGAACCTCGAGTTCTGAAGGGCAGCCACAGTCGCAGCCGTCCTTCATTGGTCCATTAGTCTGCTCGCGCTGCCGCGGTGCTGCAGTTCCACAGACTGCGTGGCTTTTAAACAACAGTTTATTTTCTCTCAGTTCTGGAGGCTGGAAAGTCCAAGATCCACGTTCCAGCAGAGTGTGGTTTCTGGTGAGAACTCTTTCTGGCTTGCAGACAGCCTCCTTCTTGGTGCATCCTCACATGCCTTTTCTACTGGTGTTGCTCCTGTGTGTGTACGTGTGTGGGGTGTGTATCTCTTTCCTCTTAGAAGGCCATTAGTCCTATCAGATGAAGGGTGCACCGTTACGATCTTACTTAACTTTACCTCCTAAAGACTCTCTAAATTCGGTCATATTGGGGTTAGAGCTTCAATAGTAAATGACTTTTGCAGGGACACAGTTCAGTCTATAACAGTTGGTGTTTCCCTTCATCAGTGAAGAAAACCAGTTTGACATAATGTAATCCAGAGTATCACCACATCAATACTAAATTCTTGTAGGTTATAAAGCAAAATTCAACTAAAACAGGGTTCTTATTTTGATCAAATCTGTATGAGATGCTTGCCAAGGTTATGGAAATACATACTTGACTTTTGTTTTGATGACAGATACTCAAATTAAGGGTATACATCAGGGGTCCTCAAACTATGGCCTGCGGGCCACATGCAAATACAAATATTGTATTTGTTCCCATTTTGTTTTTTTACTTCAAAATCAGATATGTGCAGTGTGCATAGGAATTTGTTCATAGTTGTGGTTTTTTTAACTATAGTCGGCCCTCCAATGGTCTGAGGGACAGTGAACTGGCCCCCTGTTAAAAAGTTTGAGGACCCCTGGTATACATGGTTATCATTTAATAGAAATATAGAACTATTTTCTGAATAACTAAACCTGACCCACTTTCCATTCATAATTAAAATGTGGTTTCTATTTCCTTTGTTCCAAAAACCATTATTTTGCTTTTAAATTCTCTAATGACTTGTCAATATTTTGGTTTTACAGCCATGGCAGGCAGGTTTTGTAGACATGAATAAGAAGTTCCCACGCACAAGTCCTGAAGATGCCAGGGCCAGCAGAAATGAAGGTGGGAGCTTTTCTCACTGTAAGACCTTTTCAGTAATTTCACATACGCTCTATAAAGTATCTTATTTGTTTCTCTTTCGTTTGTTGCTAATATTTGAGAGGATAATTGTGTCATATTTGATATCAATCTAAGGCAAACACAAACAAACGGGGACAAAAGAGCAAAGCCAGAAACACCACCAACCCCAACGTAGATCAACATCTTTCTCTTCAGATGACGGTGTATTTCCCTCTTCTTCTTCGTCTTCTGAGAGCGAGACAGATTCAAGTACTAACGGTATGTTTATCACCCTGTTAGGGATTTTTGTTTATAAGTTAAATTATTTAGAGAAAAATTATTAAAATCCTTTATAACTTCTGTTTATTCAACAAATGTTTATTGAGAATATGCACTGTGCTCCAGGCATAATGGTAAACATGCCATGATCCCATCAGCCAAGGAACTGTTATTTTATTGGGCGATAAAGATAGTCCATTACAATATAGATGAGAGCTGTGACTTGGCACACATGAGTGAAGGAGTCAAGGAAAGGCTTTAAGAGGAAATTCTATCTAAATTGAGAATTGGAGGAGGAGGAGGCATTTTCCAGACAAAAGCTGGGGGAGTAGAATTCAGGAAGGTTGATTATAAGCTAAAGGAATTGCATATGCTAAATAACCACTGTTGACATTTGGTTTCTGATTCTTTCTCAAGTAACATGCTTTCACTTCTATTTCTTGATTTATCATGGGCTAATATGAGTTCTTGGTTGTAAGTAAAGGAAACAACTCTGGCTGGTTTAAATGGGGAAGGCATGAAAGGATATTGAGTAACCCACAGAATTGCCAAGAAGCTAGAGAATTAATCTCTGAATATATATAGGAACAAAGTGAAACTTTGCAGCTAGAACCACAGGCAAAGTCATGCCACAGAGCTCAGGCTGCTGAGGGCCCACTGCGACCACTGCCATTCCTATACCTGGATCCCTCAGCCTGCATTGCCATGGTCACCAAATGCCATCACTGCCGCTGCAGCCACTAGACACTGGGTATTTCTGCCATCACCACAAAGTGGATTCTTCAGTATCTTTGCTTCTTGTGTCACCAACTCCTAGGCCAGTGATGGTGAACCTTTTGAGCTCGGCATGTCAGCATTTTGAAAAACCCTAATTTAACTCTGGTGCCATGTCACATATAGAAATTTTTTGATATTTGCAACCATAGTAAAACAAAGATTTATATTTTTGATATATATTTTTGATTTATATTTTTATTTTATATATTTAAATGCCATTTAACAAAGAAAAATCAACCGAAGAAATGAGTTCACGTGTCACCTCTGACACACGTGTCATAGGTTCGCCATCACTGGGCAGTGATTGATAGCCTGATCACATGTCCATGTCCCAGCCGCATAGGAAACTGGAAAAGCTAGTATTTTCAGCACTGATGGTGGGAGGCGTACAGAAGAACCTTCACCAAACATAGAAAGGAGAATCAGGTACCAGGCAGTCAAATTATAGCAAATGTTCTCCACATTCAACTGTAGGCATTATCCATTGATTAGTTCACATTAAATTACTCCTTTGTCTTACCTATTCTTTCCTGTCAGTGTTTGTTAGTAGTATTATAGTTTTTCCATTAGTTAATTTGGCATCAATATTATACTTGTAATTCTACTTATTGTTCCATCAACTTTAGTCAATTATTTTACTCTCTTTTATATAGGCACCCCACCCTTTCTTTACTCCATCTTTTCTTCCTATTGTATATATATTTTTGTTTTCAGTAGTTAATATTTATAGTCTGATCTACAACCAAAAGTAACTCATTCATTTTTTTGTTCGTAAACTCACTTTAAAGGTTCAAAACCAATAATCAGCATTTAAATTATCATCGCTCTATAAATATTGCTATTGCAGTGTCAAGTCGTGTGCTAGGGTTACATTCCCTTTCATGGACCCAATATCCTGGTTACTGGGACTCACAGGAGAATGTTTCCAGTCGTGATATCAAGTGCATTGATAGTCCATCACTTGCTTAAAACCATGCCATGTGTTAGTATTGCTTCATATTTGAACTGACTTTCTTGTATAGTTTTTTTTTTCCCCTTAGAGTTTCTAGTTCTAACATTGGTTTTTTTATTGTTGAAAGGAAGTTAATGTAATGTCTCCATAACAAAAAGATTTCCCATCCTTTTAATCATGGAGTTTATTTCTTTTCCCTAGAGATGTTCTTGCTTGCCTATTTAAACTAGACCTTTTGTAATTCTTTTAAAATCTAATTCTTTTAGATTCTGCCAACAGAAAAGTTAAGAGAAAGAGAGGACAGAAAAGGAATAAAAGGAGAAAAGAAAGAAAGGTAGGTAACTGTGAATAATTTAATATAAAATTGGTTATAGGATTCTGTACCTTATTAATTAAAGAAAACAAAATCTCCAGGGAAATTTTTTAAAATATATTTTTATTGATTTCAGGGGGAGAGAGAGAGAGAAACATCAATGATGAGAGAGAATTGATTGGTTGCCTCCTGCATAGCCCACACTGGGGATTGAGCCCGCAACTTGGGCATATGCCCTGACTGGGAATCGAACCATGACTTACTGGTTCATAGGTCAGCACCCAACCACTGAGCCACACCATGGGGGCTCTACATGGAATTCTAATAAGATATAAGGGAGGACGTGTTAACATGGAGCTAACCCAATACTGTCCTTTTTCTTTAAAAAAAAATACTCAGAAAACTACACAGACAGATAAAGACTTATTTCCCAACTTTGAGTTCAGTTTCAGGGATGAAGTGAAGTGGTAGAAGGCGTGAGCAGGTGGGGGGCGGTCTTTATGTTTCCAAGGCATGGATGGGGAGAATATACTCATCTAGTTCTCAGTGTTACCTGTTCATACGGGCATATTCTGAGATGTCTATCATTCTGTCTGGCACTGACATGTCTTCATTCCTGTCTGCCTGTCCCTTCAGGTATAGTGGCTCTCTCTGTTACTTCCATGTCACATGTAAGGACATGGGCATAATTCCGCTTCCTCACTGCCATGCAGGGGTACTAAATGCAAGGCTATTTAAAGCCTGGTCAGCATAACCTCCTCTCCCAGTCATTGTTACTATCCACACCTCAGAATACAGCCTCCTTCCCCCCACCTTAGATTTCTGTGGAATTTTACTGCTTCCCTGGTGCTCCATGAATCAGGATACAGGGCCCTTCTTTTTAGAATCTATCAATGTCTATACCAGGGGTGGGCAAACTTTTTGACTCGAGGGCCACAATGGGTTCTTAAACTGGACCAGAGGGCCGGAACAAAAGCATGGATGGAGTGTTTGTGTGAACTAATATAAATTCAAAGTAAACATCATTACATAAAAGGGTACGGTCTTTTTTTTTTTTGTTAGTTTTATTCATTTCAAACGGGCCGGATACGGCCCGTGGGCCGTAGTTTGCCCACGGCTGGTCTATACTCTTATCACTTCCCCACGATATCTTCTTCCCCTTACTCTGGAGAAATTTCTATTTTTATTGCAACTTGAGGTCAGGTTGTGGGGAGGTGAGACTCATTCTTGTTCTTTTCAGTTGTGTTTCTTCCTAACATGTTATCTCCATGTAGAAGCTTCTCTAGTCCCCTAGTGGCTTACATTTTTAAAAATCAAATTCAGGAAGAGTTCCTTTTTTTTGTTTGTTTTTTTGTTTACTAGCCTGGTTTATTTCTTCCTAAAGCAAGGAACTCACAGCTGCCTAGCTATTTAAAAGGAGTATGGGAGAAGGAATAAGGAAAAAATGAATTAATAGGAGAGAAAAAAAGTTAGTATTTCAAAACTATTATCATGTGTTAGAAAAATTATTGAAATGACAAATTTAGGGAATAATATTTGCTAATATTTGTCAATATTTACTATGTATCAGAGCTGTTCTAAGGACTTTACATGTATCAGGTAATCTAATCATCACAGTAATTAAATAAGTCCCATTACTATTCTGATTTTACAGATAAGGAAACAGATACAGAGGAGTCCAGTAATTGTACTAGGTTTCTGTCTGTCTGTCTGTCTGTCTGTCTGTCAGTATCTCAGAGCCCGTATTCACACCCAAGAAATCTGGCTCTGTAGTTTACTTTTTTTTTTTCCAGCAACCAGAAGCTTTATTGTTTCTATTTGATTTTTTCCCTAAAAAAGCAGCCCAAGAAATCCGAAATAAATAATGGCCTGGAAGTCTTGCACAGGTCCAGTTTTAGTGCAGTGGCCCTTTCCCGTTCCTCTCTTCAGTTCGTATAGTACTTCACTTAGCCACTCGGAGAGAATTTATTTTCTCAATATCAACTGGGTTCAGAATCAGTGGCCCTTTTTGAATTTTCCAACCTGTCCAATCCGTCCACTTGACAGAATACTGGGAGCTGATCTCTTCTTTTTGGATTTCCTGTCTTTCTGCCTTTTCCTCTTCTTTTTCTTGAAAATATGTGTCCTGGGCCATTCTTCCTTCTTCCTTTGCTGCCTTTTTTTCTTTGATCTGCTCCTGCAAAACCTTGTAATTCAATAACTCCTTTTGGGAGGCTGCACACCCAGCATAACCTCGAGTACAGAGGAGAGGGAACTGCTGCAGCAGGAGGGGCCGGGGCCTGCAGGGGCTCCAGGGGGTTCACAGGGCACATTGCAGCTCTTCTCTGAGCTCCGAAGCTTGGAGCCTCTTTCTCTGACCTCTTACAAGAGAACCAGCTGGGGAGCGGGCTCTGTCCCCAACACCACCGAAGTCCCCACATCTGTCTCCGTGTTTTCCCTCCGTGTTTTTCTTTCTGATGCTTTTCTGTTCTGCTTCATCTTCTGTCCTCCAAAGTCGTAGAGGTTCTGGAGCACAGCATCCAGAACAGACAGAAGGGCCCCAACCCCGGCTGGTGTCGGGCTCCGTGGGACCACCCAGAGCCCCCGGGATGCTGAGCACACGCCCTCTCTTCCCTGTAGTTCACCTTAACTACTATGACGTTGCAGAGAAGGGTACGAATCAGGTTTTCATAAAGGCTGGCCTGGCTCCCTGGTGGAGCATCGACCTGTGAACCAGGAGGTGGAAGTTCCATTCCTAGTGGGGGCATGCAGGAGATGGCCAGTAGGCGGCTCTCTCTCATCATTGATGTTTCCATTTCTCTCCCTCTCCCTTCCTCTCTGAAATCAATACAAATATATACTTTTTTAAAAAAAGATTGGGAAGAATTAGTGGATAGGGCCCCAGAAGATTAAATGTTCTATAGTGTGAGTAATGGTTGTGAACAATAAAGAATTGATTTCTCCAGAATCCACAAAGAACACCTGTTGAGAAACAGTACATTATAGTAGTATAGGCTCTAAATTGCTGAAATTGACTCAAAAAGTTTTTTTTAAAACATAGACTACTCTTTATGGAAAACATTGCAAATGTTACCTGAAAATAAATTGATAGGCAGTGGAAACTTAGTTCTTTTAAGATTTTTCAGGGAATAGGTAAGTCTGATATTACGTATAATATTCTCTCCCAGAATATGAAAGTATATAGATTGCCTTTTAATTGATTTTATGAAATTAATAAAATAGGAAAATTAGATTTTGAAAAATATTACTAGAGACAATGAGGAAATTTTATTATGATAAAAGGGTCAACATATCAGAAAGATATAACAAGTATAAATGTATTCATGCTGTTGTGAGTTGAATGGTATCCCAAATTCATGTTCACCCTGAACCTCAGAATGTGACCTTATTTGGAAATAGTGTTTGCAGATGTAATTAGTTAACATAAGATCATGCTGGAAAGGGGAACTGGAGTGTTCCAAATTCCATGACTGGCATTGTTACAAGAAGAGGAAAGGGCACACAGACATGAGTTCAAGAATAAACCCTTAAATTTATGGTCAGTTGACTAAAGTGCCAAGGTAATTCAGTGGAGAAATGATAGTCCTCCCAACAGATGGTTCTGGGACAATAAACTCTCCAAATGCATACAAATAATTTTGAAAGATATGCAAGAAATCTGTAATATTTGTTGTAGACTTTGGGAAGAATTAGGTAGCTAGGTGGCCAGAGTGAAAAGAGAACTTTTTATCTTTCAAATTTCAAACCATGTGGATATAATCACTACTGAAAAATAAAGTTAAATAAAGTCTATGCCCTAGTCAGTTTGGCTCAGTGGATGGTGCGTCAGCTTGCAGACTGAAGGGTCCCAGGTTCGATTCTGGTCAAAGGCACATGCCTGGGTTGCAGGCTCGATCCCTAGTAGGGGGTGTACAAGAGGCAGCTGATCAGTGATTCTCATCATTGATGTTTCTATCTCTTGCTCCCTCTCCATTCCTCTCTGAAATCAATAAAAACATGAAAGAAAAGAAAGAAAAGTTCTTGTATCTCTATTTTATTGAAGCAATCATTAATAAAATCATTTATTTTTGTTTTGTTTTCTAGGACAAAAGATGAAACATCAAGAAAAAGAAAGAGAAGGAAAAAAGAAGGAAACAACCAGATGGTATCACCGTTACAAGGTCTCATGAACTTTCTGTTTAAGGAGTTTATTTTATGATACTTTTATTTGGGTTTACATTTTTACTGGTTTGTCAAGACCACAGCAGTTACAGTGTCCAATATGTTAAAGAAAAAAATAATTTTGTCAGTTACATACAATGTAAATATACTTCAAAATTTAGATTTTTGTCATCTCTTAAATATCTCAATCAAGATTAGTAGAGCAGACCCACATGCTTCAAAACATCAAAAATTGCCAGTTGGATTATTGTAATCTCTGTACCCTTGGAGAGATGACATACAGTAAGTTGTCTGCTTTCAAATTTTATTTTAAAAAGTACATATTAACATATTTTATAAAGCTTGTTAGAGTACTTTAGTATAATTAAAATACAGAATTGCAAGTCCTTAGAAAAAGAATCTGTTAAAAAGAAATATATCCAGTGATTCTTAAATATCAAAATATCAAAGTTGGTTTTCATCTTGTCTTCTGTCTTGTGTTGGAATAGTTAGGGTACAGTCTGCTCTTCTAAATCATCAGGTGCTTAGAAATTATTTAAGTTGCTAAACATGATATCTAAACTTGAATATTTTATAACTGTATTTGTGATTATCCTTCTTTTTGTATTTGTCCACATTTTTATGGGCTTTAAAAAGGCAGAGACTTCTTTTAGAAAAGAAATACTGCCCATACGAATTGTATGGATGTCCAGAGCAATGATTAATCTGTTTCAGATGAGCAGATCATGCACGCCTCCCCAAAGGAGAGCATAGTATTTGACTTGAACATTGAAGGATGCATAAGTTTTATTAGGTAGACACTTCAGAATTTCACCTGGTAGTTGGCATTGGATTTTATTGTATGGAATTAGAAACTCACTAATAAGCTTCACTTCTCTCAAAATTGATGCAATACGGATATTAAGTACTTGATTGACTTGAAATAATTTGAGGTTGGAAGTGGCTGAACATTCTAACATTCAAAATAAATATCCAAGATTTGCAAATACAAGAAATTTACTGTTATTTCCATTGCCATTCATTTCTGTTCATTCTTTCCAAATCCTTATTTGTGGGTTTTTCCTCCACAAGGCAACTAAACTTACCATTTGAAATTTAGATTTTCATAGGTGTACTTTATTTTTCTCCCCTTTTTTTAGGCCACAGAAAAGGGAGCTGCTGAGAGAAAGCCACTGTATATAAAACATTTAATCTGATGATAAACCTTGATGATTAATAGTATTAAATTTTAATGACTATACTGGTATATTGAGTTTGAAGTAAAGCTCCAGTGTTAATTTAACTTAATTTTCAAGGTTTAATGTGCTCTCATCTTAACATAATGTTATCCAAAGTTTGTTTTCTACACTAAGTATCAAGAAAAGTGTAAGTATACATAATAGAGCATGTCATGAATTTATTCTAACCAGTTTCAATTTTTGTCTGCAGAGGGTCTGAAACCAGGCTAAACTTTTGATTTCCAAAGCTCAGCCTTTTGATTTAAGGTGGCCAAATGAGGATGCAGAGCCCAGCACTGTGAAACCACAGAAACACTGAAGAGCTGGGCATGGATGTCTTTAACACCACGTCTAGACTCGGAGAGCAGTGTGACCAGGCAATAAAGAGTTGGGAAGTCACATTTTACTTGCCAAGGCCCACATCCAACACTTGAGAGCCTGAAGGGGGTCCTGGATCAGGGTTCGGGTGCCCTTGAGGGGTGGGGCTGGCCTGGGCGAGGGGCCTGGGGTGGTTTGGAGGCTGGCCACACCCCAGCAGGGTGTGGGGGGTCCCCACTGGGGGATGGCCTGGCCTGGACAAGGGGCTGGGGCAGTTTGCAGGCCAGCCACATCCCCATCGGAGTGTCGGGGCGGTGTCTCTGCTGGGGGCAGGGCCAGCCTGGGCAAGGGGCTGATGGCCATTTGCAGGCTGGCCATGCCCCCATTGGGGTGAGGGTCCCCATGAGGGGTGTGGCCAGCCTGGGCAAGGGGCTGAGGGCTGTTTGCAGGCTGGCCATGCCCCCATTGGGGTGAGGGTCCCCATGAGGGGTGTGGCCAGCCTGGGCAAGGGGCTGAGGGCTGTTTGCAGGCCATCCACGTCCCCATGGGGTTGGGGTCTACCCTGGGGGCCGGGTCAGCCTGGGCGAGGGGCTGATAGCCCTTTGCAGGCCATCCACGTCCCCATGGGGTGAGGGTCTCCGCTGGGGGCCGGGCTGGCCTGGGCGAGGTGCTGAGGGCCGTTTGCAGGCCATCCATGCCCCCATCGGGGTGGGGGTCCCTGCTGGGGAGCTGGCAGTGTGGGCGAGGGGCCTGGATTGGTTTGCAGGCCGGCCAAGCCCCCATGCTGATTTGTCCCTCCCGAACTTTTTTCTCCATTTCCTCATCAGCAGAGGCTGAGGTCCCAGGAAGCTGATGAGGAATAAGCGTCAGGGCCCTGCCAAGCCCAGCGAGGGTCCGAGGGTCCTTAGCACTGTGCTTACATGGTCTTGCGTGTTTGTTGCACCAGGTGCAGGGCTGGAGGTCTTCCTGCAATATAGAGCCAGAGAGTATATTATGAAAAACGTCCAATAATTAGATATGTGAAACGGTTAGATGATTAGTTTTCATCAATATCTATCAAAATAAAGATTCTGTCCACAACTTGATACACTTGATCATGGAGCCTATAGAGTCGCAAAGGCACCGTGCTTGTTTGTTTATGGGAATCAACCAAATAGAATTAATCTGAATTCTGCTTTATGTAGGGCACAGACTTACAGCCGTGCTACAGCTCATGTACCTGTGGATGAGGACATACTTATTTTGCATCCTTTCATTTAAAAATAATTTTGATCAACCGTGAAAGAGGAAAAGCTGAATTATCTTTCAGTTCTCTATGTATAAAAAAAGATACAAAATCATTACAGACATTTACACTCCCCTCCCCCCAAATAAAAAAAAGCAATATAGAGATATGTCAGTTAATAAAACTAGAATGTTGTTTTTTTGAATTTTGAAATATTGGTGCTAATTGTCAAGCTATAAAATTTGTAATTTGTGATTTGTTATTCTAAATAAATATTCACATATGCAGTACCTAATTTTGTATTCTTTTTCTTAGTGGGCTGTCCAAATTGCCTATGCTTTAAGTCCCGTAAAACCTAGTTTGCCCTGGCCAGTGGTTAAACATCTGCCAGCACACAGAAGGGTCTTGGATTCAATTCCCTGTCAAGGGCACGTGCCTGAGTTAACCAATCAATGCGTGTCTCTCACATTGATGTTTCTCTTTCCCTCCCTTCTACTCTCTCTAAAAACAAAAACAGAAGCCTAGCTCTGTCCCTGCTCCATGTACAATGGAGAAGCTAAATTACATTGCTTTGAGAAGCTTTTATGGGCCAAGCCTGAAGTAGCCTTTCACACATTCTGAAACTACAATCTATGGGTCCCGGCTGCCTGTCACTACTTGAGCCAATTAAGCAGAGAGGGTTGAATCATATATGAGTGTTTATTCCAATAATGCCGACAGGATGGGGGAGCAGCAGGTCATCCATAAAAATCTGCTCTCCAGCCCCCCATAAGCCAGTTGCTTGTATTGAGTAGGACAAAGATTGCATGGGGAAGTAGGCAAAAGGTATAAAAATGGGTATAATGGTTATAGATTACATGCAGTTTGGGCTGGATACCCCTCTGGGACTCCATTTGGACAACAAGGTGGTTCATCTTTCCATGATAACAGGCAGTTCTCAGATGAGAAAAGACCATATTCCAAAGTTGACTCCCAGGTCCAAGGTTGACATCCAGGTGGTGATGGTGGTGTGTGGGAGGGGATGAAGGGCGGGGGGGGGGGGGGGGTTGATGCTTACAACTCCCAGCCAGGTTAGAATGTGCTTTCTTTCATCAGAACAAAACAATCACTGTTAACAGAGCATGATTAATATTTCTTACAACTAATAGCTAATCTCCAATATTCTATTTCTGTCCCTAACACTCTTGGGAAAGCCTGCCTCCTCCAGGAAGCCTTCCAGAGTGATTCAGAGAAGAGCTGAAAGCTCAGCTTTGTGTTCTCTGTCTGAAACACTTAGAGATAACCATACCCCTGCCCATCCCCTTTATGGTGACTACACACAGAGGCACTCAGTAAATATTTGATGAATGAATGAATGAAAGTATGAATTCCTAAGAAGTGTACTGATCACTTACTATGTGTCAGGCATATCTTGGGAAATACCAACTGAAACCAAGCCCTGGCCTCACAGAACTTACAATGTAATGTATGATATAGATCGACACATACATGCCCCTGTGTTCACTCATAGCTTCACTCTGTCCCTGACCTGTGTAAGTTGCAAGTTGGTGTCCATATGCAACCATCTGATGGTACATTTGTAAAGTACCTACTGTGTGCCCAGAAGGTGGAGACCTAGAGATCAAAGGCTTGGTTCCTGCACTTAAGGATTTCACAAACTATTGGAGACAGCGGAATGGCTGGGAGTGGGGACGGAGTGAACAGAAAACCACGCACATTTAATCACTGTGATGAGGATTTGGGGGGCCATTCTGAGAGCAGAAAAAGATCTGGCACTAAGAAGCAGTGCAGCTGGTGGGAAGAACCGTAGCTTTCAAGTTCAGCCTGGCCACTTGCTCGTAACCTGAGGCAAAACATAATGCATCTCACCTCATGGTCAAGAGCAGGTGAGATCATTGCAGGTGAAAGCACTTTGTAAACTGCAAAGGACCATTCAAATATTAATAAAGGAATTTTTTTTCTTTTCCTGTGTTGTTCCATCCCATCTTGTCTGCCACAGACAGAAAGGGATCGGACTTTTTTTTTCTTGCATCTGTAGTGAAAATTAGAGGAATTTTCTCGATGACAAAGCTATTTCTGTCCATATCCTGATGGGCAGGCTTCTTTGGGTAAAAGTTGTATTTCTCCCATCCCTTTTGCACTTTGGAGCAGTTTCTTTGCCTAGTGCAGTGATGGCGAACCTATGACACGCGTGTCAGAGATGACACGCGAACTCATTTTTTTGGTTGATTTTTCTTTGTTAAATGGCATTTAAATATATAAAATACCAAAAATATAAGTCTTTGTTTTACTATGGTTGCAAATATCAAAAAATTTCTATATGTGAGACGGGACCAGAGTTAAGTTAGGGTTTTTCAAAATGCTGACACGCTGAGCTCAAAAGGTTCGCTATCACTGGCCTGGTGGCTCAATTTCTTTTCTACTAAGGAGAGGCTAACCCCAACAGTATCTCCTCTGCCCTGTGTTCTGGGGCCTGGACACTTAATGAGAGCCGAGCAGAGAGACCCACAGCCCCAAGGGCCTCTCTAAGCCAGTGGTTCTCAACCTTCTGGCCCTTTAAATCAGGGGTCCTCAAACTTTTTAAACGGGGCCAGTTCACTGTCCCTCAGACTGTTGGAGGGCCGGACTATAGTTTAAAAAAAAACTATGAACAAATTCCTATGCACACTGCACATATCTTATTTTGAAGTAAAAAAACAAAACGGGAACAAATACAATATTTGTATTTGCATGTGGCCCGTGGGCCGTAGTTTGAGGACCCCTGCTTTAAATACAGTTCCTCATGTTGTGACCCAACCATAAAATTATTTTTGTTGCTACTTCATAACTGTAATGTTGCTACTGTTATGAGTCGTAATGTAAACATCTGATATGCAGGATGGTCTTAGGCGACCCCTGTGAAAGGGTCGTTCAACCGCCAAAGGGGTCGCGACCCACAGGTTGAGAACCGCTGCTAAGCTATTCGCCTCAGGACTCAGCTCCTAGTGGGAGGAACAACTTGTTCCTGGAACGGAATTGTACTGCACCAAGTCCTAGCCGGGAGGGGAGACTGGGCTGGAGAACCACCAGGTTTGACCACAGGCTTTGGGAATGCTGCCTTTGTTCCTAACCGGAAAGCAATGCACTCCCATGTGCTGGAAAATGCTGCGGTCTCTGTTGGCTTGTGAATGCCCTTCTCAGCAATATAAAACTCTTGGGCATGTTGAGGAACTTGAAAAAATTATTTTCCCCTTGACTATGACAAAGTTATGATCTGTAGTCAATGATTTTACTTTTAGGCTACCCCCCTACTCAGTATAGTGTGCTAGCTTAATACTGCTGTAGGCTGTGGGAAGGGTTAGGGGGTGGTCAGACCGGATCTGGGTTCAGCAGCCTCAGGTTCTGGCTAGGAAAGAATTCAGAGCAAGACCCAAACTGTAAGAGCACATTTACTTGGTAACTTACAGAGGTAGAAGTAGTAATTCCTAGAAGAAATGGGCTGAGGAAAACAAGTTATAGAGGCAAAGGAAGGGCCCTAGGAGCTTGGGAGGGAGGAAGCTAAAGGAGGGGAGGGGAATGGGGAGTGGGAAAGGAAAGGTGGGCAGGCTCCCTGGAGGGAGAGTGCATTGGGCCCTCCATCCTAAGGGTTTAAGGGTGGAGATTTTAGGGGAGCTCCCAGGGAAAGATCTTAATAGAATATTCAGCAGTTTTCCAGGTGTGCCCTTTTAGGGTTGTGGTCTCCACTAAATGGCCAGCACCAGGGCAGGGGGTCATTATTCAATGCAGCTGGTCCTGACCTCAACCGTGGCTGATTTTGCTCCTTAACTGGGCCTGGAGCTGAAATACAACTGAGGCCTCGCTATTATATCCAGGGAGGAAAGGTCAGGGGTCCAAACCTCATGCCCAGCCATCTGCTTGGGGAGGAAAAGTCACCCTCGGGGGTGAAGTCCCTCCCTACAAGTGATTGTCCATTATTAGGCACCTGGGGTTTGCTGGCTTTCTGTACCTGGTCCATCATCCTTGCTCTGCTCATGTCTGCCTAACTGCTTATATCAATACAATATGTAATAATATTCACAAAAAAGAAACAACTCCCAATTTCCCCACTTAACAAATGATGCAAGGTGTTAAATTAATTTAAAATAACTGTAAAAATGATTTGCTGATGAATAAAATTTGAAATAACATATCACGTTTTGTTGGAAAGCCATGTGAATATATTATCACAGACTGACATGTCACTACGTGTTGAATGATAGCATAAAAAAAAAATACATACACGTTTTTCATTAGCCACTCTTAGAATTCTTGAGATTTCCCCCAAGTTTTTTTAATATAAATTTTAGTGTTTTGTTTCTAAATGGCAGGAAAAGAGAAGACTTTAGCTGGCTATTTGCAAGCATGTTTGAGAAAATAAAACACGTGGAGGTGGAGGGTATTTTAATCAAATGAGAAGTCAAATTAGATGTTTTGTCACTATCAATTTTTAACATTACTTCAAGGTATTAAAGAATCTTGGTTGCAGACCTAGCCAGTTTTGCACAATGGATAGAGCGTTGGCCCATGGACTGAAGGGTTCCTAGTTCGATTCCAGTCAAGGGGATGTACCTCAGTTACAGGCTCAATCCCCGGCTCTGGTCCGGCACGTGCAACCAATCCATGTCTCTCTCTCTCTCACATGGATGTTTCTCTCTTTCTGTCTCTCCCCCTCCCTTCCACTCTCTCTGAAAATCAATAGGAAAAAAATATCCTCAGATGAGGGTTAACAACAACAACAAAAAAGAATCTTGGTTGCTGTTGAAAGAATTTTAATCAAATGAACACAATAAGGATCGGAGTAATTTACAAAGGAAGCCATTAACTCCTGCATATTTAAAAAAATTTTTTTTAATATATTTTATTGATTTTTCACAGAGAGGAAGGGAGGGGGATAGACAGAAATATCAAACAGCTGCCTCCTGCACACTCCCTACTGGGGATATGCCCCCAACCAAGGTACATGCCCTTGACCGGAATTGAACCTGAGACCCTTCAGTCTCCAGGCCGACGCTCTATCTGCTGAGCCAAACCAGTTAGGGCAACTTCCTGCATATTAATACTAATATTTCATAAGCACTCTAAGTTTAAACAACACTTCATTGTGGAATTAAATTAACACAGTATAATCAAAAGTAAAACAGGTCACAACTTTCTTGTCAATGTGTGGATTGATTAGATTCTTATTCAAAGAAATAAACTGCAGCCCTGGCTGGGTGGCTCAATTGGTTGGAGCGTTGTCCTGTACACCAAAAGGTTGCAGGTTCGATTCCTGGTCAGGGCTCATACCTGGGGAGTGCAATCGATGTTTCTCACATCTCTCTCTCTCTCTTCCTCTCTCTCTCTCTCTCTCTCTCTCTCTCTCTCTCTCTCTCTCTCTCTCTCTCTCTCTCTCTCATCAATGGGCATATCCTCGGGTGAGGATTAAAAAAACAATTGCAAAAATCATTTGTTGGGAATAGAGAAGTTTGAATATGGACTGCGTATTAGATGATATTTAAGAAATCACTGTTAATTTTGTTGGGAGTAATGATATTGTAGTGACACAGGTAAATTTCCTTATTCCTTTGTGGTGCATACTAAAGGATTCAGGGGTGCAGTGTCATGCTGTCTGGGATTTATTTGAAAATACTTCACAAAAAAGAAAGCAAATATGGTAAAATGTTAATAACTATTAAACCCTAGTGATGGGAATATGAGAGCTCCTTACACTTTCCCTCTATTTTGCTGTTTGAAATGTTCGCAACAAAAACCCAAAGTGAAATAAAATGTAACCGCTGAGTGGCCCAACCCCACTGGCTCCCTCTAGTGGCCAGTGGTGGGGAGTTGCCTGCAAACAGATAGTCCTGGAAGTCTGAGCATCCCCAATCCCAACCCCTTCAACAGCCCACAGCTGCCATCACACACTCACTAGGAGCCTCTCCATCTGTTTTGTTCTTTTGTATGTTTCAGGGTTTTTAAACTAGAAGCTGAGGCGGACATCATCACTCCCTTTAACAACCTGAATCTCACAGATTTGATTCCCGATTGGGATTCGCTGCAGCAGGACAGCCTGAGGCTGGTGGGTTCCGTCTGTTTTACTGAGGTGGACGCGGAAGGCTTTCATGGATGGTCAGTCACCTCAACTTAAAAAGCAACACAACACTGAGGGCTTCGGGTCTCCCTTTCCCACTCCATTTCCTCCTGCTGGCCCACATCCAGGGCACCCAGAAAGGTCCAGGCTGGTAGATCCTCTTCTAATTCACTTCCACAACTTCTGCCCCTACCAACTGAGTTATCTGCTTACCACGGTTCTCTTCTGTTTTTTCCAAAGCTTGTTTGGACCAGTTCTTACTGTTATAATTAAAGACACACAACCCAATGCAACTTACGTGTAGCACTCCCATCAGACAACCCACACGTGTCTCACACACACAAAAGTGAACACAGCTGGGACCTACATCAAAAATTGGGCAGTTAAATGAGCCATAGTTTGACTTAAAATAGCTAAGATGTTTAAGATGTATATTTTCATTGAAGTTATTCTTAACTTTTACCAAGTATGTGAACGAGAAAATCAACTCCATCTTGACAGTGTTGGGTGAGAGGCTTTTCACCATCCCATGATTCTCTGTCCAGATTTGAGTGAAAATAAGTTTTTTTCCACTGAGCTTTGTGAAGGAATATGTGGATTTTTCCCTGCTGACTTATCTTCCCCTGGCATTTTATTTATATTGAGATTCACCTGCATAGCGCCCTTGGTGGTCCGGAGCTGCCTCTTGCTTCAACAGTGTTTGGATGGAACAGCCCCAGGGACGCCCCTTCTCCCAGCCTCTGGCCACCCCCCAGCGTCTTATCCAGTCACCACCTCTAGCACCACCCCTGGGACCAGCCAACACACCGGGTTTTTTCTACCTTAACCCCTTATGCCGAACAACCATGAGCTCCCAAATTCATCAGAATTTTTCCACCCCTGCCGTCCACCACCCGGCCCCCCTCCCCCTGCCTCTGCGGGCCACCCACACCTACCTCTCTCTGGGGGAGATGGCGGAGAAGCTCGAGGGCATTGAGCTGTCTGGTAAAGTTGCGAACCCAGCACGGTGGCCACACTCTCCCCCAGGACGCGCTGAGGCCTCCCCAGATGAGTGGGCAGAACTCGGGGCGCCAGGGAGGCCGCCCCGGCCTTGGGGAGGAACCTGACCAGGCCCTGGTGGACCTGCAGGCCCTGGTTCTGCCCCTGCAGATGCTCAGCTCTGATTCCTGCAGAGCCACTTCCGGGTGAGGAGGGGAAGCTCATCAAGAAGATGGGCCACACCTGGCTCCTTCCGAAGGCTGCAGCCCCAGGCCGGGCGGGGCCAGTGGCTCTAGGAAAGGCTCAGCCTCCAGCACCACTAGGAGCCTGGGGAGCCCGGAGGCCTGTGAGGGGCCCCTCTGCCTCCCCTGGTGCCTGAGCCTCTCCCCGAAACCCCAGCCATTCCTTTAACTGCCCTGAAGCCCTCTCCCGGGCATTGGACCAAATGGAACAATAAGGCTTTTTTGCAGCAAAAGAAAAGATTCACTTACATTTTCTCTCTTTTTTTTAAAAAGAAATCTTTCATTTATTTATTTTTGTTGTTGTTAATCCTCACCAGAGGATATTTTTCCATTCATTTTTAGGAAGAGTGGAAGGGACTGTGAGAGAGAGAGAGAGAGAGAGAGAGAGAGAGAGAGAGAGAGAGATTGGTTCCTGCACACACACACACACACACACACAGCCCCGAGTGTGTGGGGACTCACTATGGGTGATCCCCGCACTGGAGACTCCGCATGCCCATCTTCAAGCTCTGACCCGTAGGGAGGCTCTCCTGCAGCATTTCAGGTGCCTCGAGGTCACTGAGGGGCGTGGGCTCTGGGGGAGGCCGAAGGGCAGGCATGGCCAGACTCAGAAGGGGCCCTGGTGTCAGAGACCCGGACTCTCTATTGTTTTTGTGATTAATCACTATGCTTTAATTATGTTCAATTTGTAACAACGAAAATACATCCTGCATATCAGATATTTACATTACGATTCATAACAGTAGCAAAACTACAGTTATGAAGTAGCAACGAAAATAATTTTATGGTTGGGGGTCACCACAACATGAGGCACTGTATTAAAGGGTTGCGGCATTAGGAAGGCTGAGAACCACTGCTCTAGGAGGAGCTGCTGGGGACTGGCCACCTCCCAGGAGATGACACCCTGGGGTGGGGTGACGGCAGCCCACCTCTGCCCCAGCTCTTTTCTTGGAGAGCAGCTTAGCCCCCCCCCCCAGGCCAAGGCCAAGGTAAGACAGAAGCCAGACCACAGGCAGGTGCAGACATAGTCCTCGGACCTGTCCCATCATAGCCCAGGACTCAAGGACTCAGGGACAGAGACTGTGTACAGGGACAACCTCACCACCCGCAGGGATCCGTTTAAGGTGAAAGAAGCGTGGCCTTCTCTGAGCCCCGGTGTCCTCACTCAGAAGTCAGGAGAGTGGACCCGGTGACCTCTGTGGCCGCTTCCCACTCTGCTCGCCCACGAGGCTGGGACCCACCTGCAGTGGCGGACCCGCCAGTCACCAGCAGGGAATGGACACCACCCAACAGGCCCCGCGTCGTTACCCAGGGAGATGGGGTGAAGGGACAACCCTGGAGTCGGGGTGAGGACTCAGGTCTTGGCAAAAAGTCAGGGCAATTCTTCCTCTTCCGGCCAGAAGCAGAAGGTGGGGCCCTGGTCTGTCTGCCAAGACCCAGGGGACTGAGGGGGCCCAGCAGCAGCTCCAAGCCCTGACCCTGGGCGGGCTGGGTGGGCAAGGGGCTTGCTCCATCTGACAGGGGTGCCTTGGGATGGGGCCGCCCGTGGCCGCGTGGCAGGAGGTTCCAGGACCTGGGATGGTCATAGGCCTTTCACACCCTCCCACAGGTAGCTTTGCCCCTGGGCAGGAGCAGGGGGTCAGTCCTCCTGGGGCGCCCTGAACTCGGGCATGCTCCAGGTCCGGGGCGGGGGCCGTGCATCCCGCTCCACGTCCTCCGAGATGGTGGGGATGTCGCTGGCGAAGGGAGCGATGCGCGTGCGGGTCTTGAAGGTGGCCAGCGCCAGGCCGCGGGGCCGCAGGCTCCACTGCCGGGTCAGCCTGCGGGCCTCCTCCTCCTGCTTCGTCCTCTCCAGCACCTCCCGCAGCACCGAGAGAAAGAGCGGAGACACCTCCCGCACCTCGGGCTCCTGCTCCGCCAGCAGCTGCCGGAACCTGCAGGGAGGGGCGGTCACCTGGTGGTGGCACCTGGCCTCAGGGGCTTCCGTGTGCACCCCCAAGGTCAAGTCCCAAGTCCCCCACCTCCTTGTTGCCCCAGCCCATCCCTAGTTCGAATCCCAGCTCTGCCACTTGTGGCCTCCATGAGCCTCAGCTTCCACGTCTGTAAAGTGGGGTCACAGCCACCTTTTTGTGGTGTAATGAGCTAACATGGAAAACCCTGGCACTGGCCCCGGTGATCCACGTCGGTGTGGTGCGGGGAGCGCACTGCTTTCACCTCCCAGGATATGAGGCTTTCCGGCTCACCCCTCCCTCCATTCTCCACTCTCCGCCCACTGGCCAGAGCTGTCTCTCTGAAGTGTGTGTCCGGTTCGGCCACTGCCCTGAGGTTTTCCTCCCACCACTCACATGGCTGTTTGCCCATGCACACCGGGTCCCCTGCTCTGTCCCCATCTGTGCTCCAGCAGGGAGTCTCACAGGTGCCCTCAGCCCCGGGTTCTCTGGCTCCTGCTGGTTTCTCTGCCTAAAGGGTCTCTGCTGGGTCTCAAGAATGAATGGTAGTTACACATCGTTTACTACATATGAGTCAGGACTGCTCCAAGCTCTCAGCAGGGATGGGAGGCAGCCAATGTGACAGGACCATCACCATATGTATGCCCCCAGGCTCCTGTCATGTATGAGGTGTGCTTTGCCAGGTTAGATTCCCTCATCAGCACCAGCCCCCCAAGACTGACCCCTACCCCTGTCCCCAGGGTGCTCCTGGAAATAGATACAATCGGGGGAGGGGGCCCCCATGGCACAGAAAAGTGGAGAGGTTAAGGTTCTCAGCCTGGAGGAAGAAGTGGGAGGGAGTTACAAAGACAACAAAATCCAGAGGGCATGTAGACAGAACTGGAGAAGAAGAGTTTTTAAGGGGCATTTCAGAGAAAAGGGTGTACAATAGATACACTCGTTAAAGATGGGTGAGAGAAGCCCGGCCAGTGCGGCTCAGTGGTTGAGCGTTGACCTATGAACCAGGAGGTCATGGTTCGATTCCCAGTCAGGGCACATGCCCAGGTTGCAGGCTCGATCCCAGTGTGGAGCGTGCAGGAGGCAGCCGATCAATGATTCTCTCTCATCATTGATGTTTCTCTCTCTCCCTTTCCCTTCCTCTCTGAAACCAATAAGAAAAATAATATTAAAAAAAAAAAAAAAACATGGGTGAGAGGAGATTCTGGGGATCTAAGGGGAGGATTTTAAGATGTTTTATGTGGATCTGTATCTCTTTACTAGTGTTTGAGAAATGCAGATAAAGAAACTGAGTTACTTCTGAAATGGGACTAATGCTTCTTTGACTTCAACAGGAATCCATCTGATGCTGGACTATGTAGGTCATGGTTTTGTTAAGGTTACACTTATATTCAGGAATATTGTTGTACCCACGCTCTTAATGTTCCGTGCCCTAGGGCTCTGCAACCCCTTACACACACACACACACACACACACACACACACACACACACCCCTTAGGCACGCTAGTTTGAAATAGGATAACTGTTATTTGGGAAAACCTCTCTAAGAAGGTAGGGTGGAAGATGAACTAATGGAGAAGGACCCAGCTTGTTAAAATCCAGGATAATAACCATCAGGACCGGGAGATCAGAAAGTTAAAGGCCTGGGGTTCTCTACTATCAAAACTCATGAGCCTGGACCCAGGAGCCACCCTGCCTCCCTCTGAGCCCCTAGCACAGCCTGATAGTCCAGGGCCTCTTCCAGATTCCTCCTCCTGCCTTGCTTCTTCTAACAGACGATGGGTCATCCAGGCCCCCTGGCCCCAGTCCTGGTAACTCCAGGCCCTGCCACTGCAGCCACCCTCCCTGGAGCGAGCCTGCAGCCCAACAGCTGGGCCCCATGCCAGGGCCAGGGTTACCTGAGGATGGCGGGCCCACAGTAGGACGGGGGGATCTTGGCGCAGACATCCTCTAGTTGCAGCCGCTCACCAGGGCTGAGGTCGTAGGTGGCCCGGGGCGGGCTGGCCAGCCAGCTGTAGTCCACTCCGGTGCAGATCTTCCTGCCCGCACTGCTGCGCTCCCGCTGCTGCCTCTCGGCCTCGCGCATCTGCCCCGCCAGCTCCATCATGAGTGTCTCCAGCACCATCTCAGCCGGGCTCCGGGACGACAGCCGGGGCAGGGCCTCGTTCCACCGGAGCCATGGGATGAGGGACATGGCCCCCTGGCCCTGCTGAGACAGGGCAGAGTGCCTGTGTCTTCCTTGGGCCCCTCTGCCGGTTAGGGTGGGAAGAGCAAGGAGGAGGGAGGAGAGTTGGGATCCCAGTAAGAAGATCTGCTTCGTCCTCACAGCTGGGTGGCCTCAAGTAAGTCGCTTAACCCCTCTGAGCAATCATTTCTAATTCTGTAAGACAAGATGGGGCTGTTGTGAGCTCCGATTGTGAATAAACGTGGCATGTTCTAAGCACCCCATAAAAGTGAGATATATCCATGATTATAGTAATCCCTAAAACATCCAGATGATTGAGCCCAGAGAGACTGCCTCCTGAATCCCTGCTGACGCCAAACAAAGAAGGAAACCTACTGTGGATGGTGAGCACAATCTTATCCCTATGACTGAAGGGCAAAAATTCACACACACAATACAGATGCTTACATACTACTATGTCAACCCAACAGGAAAATACCCTAAGTTTCTAAACGTCCCAGCCTGTGGCTGAAGGACGCTTAGAATAGTATGGGCTTGACATCATCCTGCAAAAGACATAACTTACCTTCCATTCATTTATTCATTTACCTCTCATTCATTCATTCATTCATTCATTTGGGAGCACTAATCCAGCACCGTGTGCACATCTGTGCAGGACCACAAGTGGGAAAGCCTGTCAGGGGCCCTGCTCTCCAGTGACGCAGGGCGTGATGAGTAAGAACCATCACATCAGTGGAAAGAAGTCGACATGGCTGGTGAAGCACAGAGTGGGTACGGCCGGGGGAGGGAAGGAGTGACTCCAGATGATGAAAGGGACCACAGAAGGCTTTGTGGATGAAAGGGGTGAAGGGTGAGTGCGGCTTCAGACACATGGACTGAGGGAGAAGGTTCCCAGGTGGAGGGCCCCAACCTGGTCTGCAAGGAGCATCAGGTGTGAAGGCAGGACCCTAACCCATCAGCATATTCCCACAGTCCTGCTCTGGGAATATGGGTTTGGTGACTGACTGACTGACTGACTAGGTCCGTGGTCGGCAAACCGCGGCTCGCGAGCCACATGTGGCTCTTTGGTCCCTTCAGTGTGGCTCTTCCACAAAATACTACGTGCGGACACGCACGTACAGTGCGATTGAAACTTCGTGGCCCATGCACAGAAGTAGGTATTTTGTGGAAGAGCCACACTCAAGGGGCCAAAGAGCCGCATGTGGCTTGTGAGCCGCGGTTTGCCGAGCCGCAGTTTGCTGACCACTGGACTAGGTGAATGAATGAATGGGTGAATGGGTGGATGAGCTGCCCTTTCAGGCATGCCCCGCTGCCTGTCAGGGTTTGTGCCTGACAGCACTGAAGGTTAAGTGCCACTCCTGGACTAAAATCTGAGTGGATCTCCGAGGTGCCCCAGCTCCCCTTTCAGTGCCTTTTCCCCTCCAGGGGGCTCCCCTTTCTCTGAACCATTAGTCCTCTTCCTGCCCAGACTCCCCTGGTGCGGAGTAAAGAGATTCCATGAGCTCAGTCTCCACAGCTTGGCCGTGAGGCCTGTGTCACCTCCTGAGGACACACAGGCTTTAGGCAGCCCTCCCACCTCTCTGCACCCACAATGCTCAGCCCACAGACATGAATTGTTCATGCTGGAGAATCAGGCACACATGGGAACATGATTACGGGGTAGAAGTCGCCTTCTGGAGTGGCACAAATCAAATTGTCTCCTTACCCATGGAGACTTCAATAGCCAGTTCCCTTAGCAATCATCAAAATTAGGAAATCTGAAAACCGTTCCCCTCCACGCAGCCTGAGCCTGTCACCCGAGGGGGCCTCAGATTCCACCCGGAGTCCTCCTGGGAGGCGGGAGGGAAAGACCGACCGGCAAACCCTCCTCTTGGGGTCCAGGCAGTAAGGGCCTCCTCTGCTCAGTCCTTAGCCACGCCGTGTGTTCAGAATACCGAGGCTGGGCAGGAGCATGGGGAAGGGGCGATGGGGTGGGCCGTGGGCCGTCCTGAGCACCAGGGGCCTCTGCCGAAGGCCATGGGATTCGATTGCTTCAGGCAGAAGGAGGCCTTGTATGACATACTACCCTTCCTGGAGCGCCTGTGTTTTAAAGTACATGGGTCAGCCAGAGTATGGAAGCAGGAACAGGCTGTTGAACCTCAGAGGGAAGGCAGGGGAGGGTGGGTGGGAAGAGGTCAACCAATGAACTCGTATGCATGTATGCATCACCTGTGGACACAGGCCGTGGGGTGGTGAGGGCCTGGCGGTGAGGGGAGGGGGAGTGAGAGAGTGGGCTGGAAGAGGTTAATGGGGGAAAAAGGAAGACCTATGTAATACTTTCAACAATAAAGATTTTTTACAAATTAAAATAAATAAAAAATGATGAGTATTTCAATGCCAAATAAATATATACAGTACTTGGGTCAGGTTGATGCCTAGCACCAAAAGGTGTCATTTCGAGGGTTCATTCAGCCCCCTGAAGGGTACTCCAAGTATGCATGGGTCAATAGTGCCCACAGGGACTAGGGACTGTGCTGGGCCATTCCACAGCTCCCTGCCTTCATCGGTGTCCCTCCCTCTGCCTAGACCAGCGGTTCTCAACCTCCTGGCTCTTTAAATACAGTTCCTCATGTTGTGACCCAACCATAAAATTATTTTCGTTGCTACTTCATAACTGTAATGTTGCTACTGTTATGAATCGTAATGTAAATATCTGCTATGCAGGATGGTCTTAGGTGACCCCTGTGAAAGGGTCGTTCGACCGCCAAAGGGGTCGCGACCCACAGGTTGAGAACCGCTGGCCTAGACACTTATGAAATAAAATAAGTACTTCTTTCTTCTTGTCAATATACCTTTATAGCAACTTGGAGGGTCAGGCTTCAACTGGGGGTGTTTGGCCTCCTTCGAGTTCTTCGCTGGCACGTGGCAGTGTGGGCTGAGCCAGCTCCCAGCCCTCAGCCTGCCCCCCTCACCTTCTCACACCCTGAGGAGCCTTGCAAACAAGCATGAGACACCCCAGCCTTCACGTCCAAACCTTACCCACGACCCTACCAACAGCTGCCCCTTTGATGCCCTCAGGCTGCTCCACACTGGTGATGCCATCCACCCGCCGGGACTGGGCCCGGGGAGGACACCTGCTCAGGCTCAGGAAGTGGGCCTGTCTGGGAAGGGATTTCGATCTCAGTACCTAAGGCCTGATCTAGAGAGGAAGTGACCCCAGGATGGACACATCTCCTTAATCTCCCAGACTCCTCTCCTCAGGTGTGGCTGGGCCAGAAGAAAGCCAGAGTGTAGGCCGGGGAGGGGCCCTCCTCCCAGGGTCAACCCACATCATCAGACGGCAGGGACTGGGTGGGGTGACCCCACACGAGTCCTGGGCTCGGTGAGTGCTTAGCTTCTCTGGCCCAGGTGGTGGGGTCTCAGGGGGACAGGGGCGTGTTCTGAATTTTCTCCTTCCCCAACCCCCATGCTCTCTGCCTCCAACCCTGGCTGGAGCTGGAGGCTTGGACAGAGACAGGGTTTCTGCCCGGCTATTTCTGTCTCTGGTGCCAGCTGTTCTCCCTGGAGGCTCTTTGGCAGGTCTGATTAAGTTCTTAAGGGCAAAGGAGGGAGGCAGGTGGAGGGAGGGAGAGCAGCCAAGAGAAGCGGGCCGGCCAGACAGCCACAGGTATATCCCAGGGTCTCCCCAAAACCTGACCCACAGCTGAGACCCCGTGTGAGTTTGAGCTGTGACTGAGTGTCTAGGGAAGAAAGCGATGGCAGGTGTGGTCTGATAAAGACACCCAGAGGTGCCCTAACCGGTTTGGCTCAGTGGATAGAGCATCACCCTGTGGACTGAAAGGTCCCAGGTTCGATTCCGGTCAAGGGCATGTACCTTGGTTGCAGGCACATCCCCAGTAGGAGGTTTGCAGGAGGCAGCTGATAGATGTTTCTCTCTCATTGATGTTTCTAACTCTCTATCCCTTCCCCTTCCTCTCTGTAAAAACATCAATAAAATATATATATATTCTTTTTTAAAAAGAGCCCTAGCCGGTTTGGCTCAGTGGATAGAGCATCAGCCTGTGGACTCAAGGGTCCCAGTTTCGATTCCAGTCAAGGACATTAAAAAAAGAAAAAGAAAAAAAGAAAAGATACCCAGAGGTTCGTCAGAACAGCAGGGGTGGTTTTTGCTGAGTGCTCTACACAAATGGGATTCTACCCACCCCCCTTGTTCTGGATTAACCCCGTGGCAGAGCCAAACTCCCCAGTGTTCGCTTCAAGGCCCCTCACTCCTACTCCCCCTGGCCCTGGTAGCATGCACCGTGGTGACTCCGGAACCTTCCGGGGAGGAATGCCTGCTTCCCATTCAGTCAACAGCACCGACAATCTGCCCCTGATGCAGGAACATTGATTGAATCCTTGTTTAAGAAAAAGTTACGCCCACAGCCCTCCCTCCCTGCCATCTGCCGCCTGTGTCCAAATCACCATCGTTGCTCCCTGCCTCAGTTTCCCGGTCTGTAAGATGAGGTGATAAGGGTAGTAATGTCCGTGTAAGTGCTAACTAAACCAACAAGGCCTGTGACTGTCCCTCGGTGTGGTGTCCTGGGGCCCACAGGGATAATTCAGCGGTTAATGAACTCACAATGGGGGGAAACCATCTTTGCTTCCACTATCTGGAACTGGAGTGTAGCATTTCCGCCAGTTATGAGCGTGTCCGCAGACCTCAGCAGTAGCATCACTGCTGTGACTGCATCCCCAGCAGAGACCACAGGTATAAATAACACTGCAGTGCCGTCACTCTTGACATATCACGTCAGCTCATCACTACTGTGAAATCATGGTATTTGTTAGAGTAGACCTGCCACTAGATTTTATTATTTTACATATGGTTGGAGGGGGAAGGACATTATTACTGTATCTCAAATTGTGTTTTTAAAAAAATAGGTCCCTAGCCTGGTTGGTGTGGCTCAGTGGTTGAGTGTCGACCTGGAGGTCAGGGTTCAATTCCCTGTTGGGGTACATGCTGGGGTTGTGGGCTTGATCCCCAGTAGGGGGTGTGCAGGAGGCAGTTGATCAGTGATTCTCATCACTGATATTTCTATCTCCCCTTCTCCCTTCCTCTCTGAAATCAGTAAAAATGT